CTCGCCCCTGGCTCGTATCGCGATCGACTGGATGTTGCTCCACGCCGCAGGGCGAGCGGCCAACAACGCCACGTGTGGCCTCAGGGAAGGGTGGGGGGGGCTGCCGAAGCCTTGGAGCTGGTGATGACTCGAATTTTAAAGGGACCCCACTCCTAAATGTAATTTTTTTTGGAAACGTACGCTGCGTTGCAATGAGTCGAAAGACAATAAAACAGCGCTGTGATAAATCCCACGGTCCAATTTGGTGATCGGAGGGGCCGGAGAATCACTAATGGCTGTTACTAAAGCCCAGTTTATGTGCTGAGATTAAAGTAAAAAAAAACACACAGCTCACGTTCGTCAATAACGCTGCCTTCAAAAACCTCGAAGATTGCCTTTCCAGCTCCTGAACAAATTGCGCACGAATATAACTGCCTTCAAATGAATACGTGCAATAACGCGAACACTCAGGACACAACGCGGTGTGATTTGACGAATGCTGCTGTATGTATGTTGAGTTTGTGTTATTTGTGATGTGGAGCGGTGGTGTAGCGGTCAGCGCGCTACTCTACAACACCGGCGGCCCGAGTTCGATTCCCGCTCACGGCCAACACCAGTGACGATTATCTTAACCGGCCTGCCCTCGGTAGACTCAGCCTCAAATTGGTACCTGGTGTGGTGCGTAGACATCACTACTGGGGAGACAAAGGCGGCCGGCCGTGGTTTGTTGGCCACCCACCCCATCGCGTGCCGTGCTGGCCTTCATAGGTGGTTGCTAACAGCACGTGCCCCAACAGTCTATTGAGGCCATACGGGGGATCTTTGTCTTTGTTTTGTTATTTGTGATTGTCAACGCAGCAGCACCAAACAACAGGTGGTTCCGGCCTCAAACTCTCACCACCACTGTGGCCAGATGATAACAACCTCGCCTGGAATTCAGGTCGTGGGTTCGAACCCAACCCTGTGAACGCCTGCTGTATATTGGGAAAGCCTACGTGTTAAAGCCTACGTGTTAAACTTTATATTTGGAGTTTGCATGTTCTCTCTCTCCCCGTGTTCGCGTACATTGTTCTGCGGGTCCTCCAATTTTCGCCCCCATAATTATAAACAATGCGCGTTTCGAGTATTTGGCTGCTATACATTTCCGCTTGATAATCCACTTCGGTGCGCTACTATTTATGGCCAGGTCGCTTCGAAGAAAGAGCTGCCCTAACTCAGTGGCCTTACCTGGTAACAAAAAAAATAGTTGAGTTTTAAACTGGAGGTGTGGGGTTGATTCCAAGTATTCTCGTTTCCTCTTACGAACTCGTTCAGAACTTGGGCCAAACATTCCAATAAAACATGCTTCAAATTGCTTTAAACTATTGTCATTGTAGTGCGTATTTAATGTGGTGCTGCACTCTGATGTTGTAGGAAAAAACATTTATTAAAAAGTCTATTTGATTAAGTAGAACGTGTTGTCTATATGTATTTAAAGTTGCGCATTTTGATGTGACGTAACATTTCTCACCCCCCCCCCCTCGTCACACATCGTCACAAATGTCTGACCCCCCCCCCCCCCCCAGTGCGTGACGTCATTTATGGACGGCCCCTCTGCGCCATTGCTCTCGGCCGTTGCATTTGACTTTAAAACCGCAAATGGTATCTTGTTTGGACTTATATAGCTCCTAATTCCCTGGGCAATTTACAGCAATTATACAATTTATACGAATGATGATGGTGGTTGAGAGTGGGATTCTTATTTTAAAAAAGTGGTGGTGTCGTTAGGGGCCGTCCATAAATGACGTCACGCACCTAGGGGGGGGGGGGTCAGACATTTGTGACGATGTGTGACGAGGGGGGGGGGGGGGTTGAGAAATGTGACGTCACATCAAAATGCGCAACTTTAAATAAATATAGACAACACGTTCTACTTAATTAAATAGACTTTTTAATAAATAGTTTCTCCTACAACATTAGAGTGCAGCGCCACATTAAATACGCACTATAATGACAATAGTTTAAAGCGGTTTGCAGCATGTTTTTTTTTTGGGGAGGGCAGAGCTTTGTGACGTCATATTTGAGGGGGGGGGGGTCTGCTTTCCGTGACACCGTGTGACGAGGGGGGGGGGGGGTCAAAAATCCTCCAAAATCGCGTGACGTCATTTATGGACGGCCCCCAATGGCGATAGGAGACTAGGCGGGAAAGGTTAAGGAGGGGTTGGGGTAGCGGTAAGGGTTGGCGTAGCAGTAAGGGAAGTGATAGGGGTTGTGGTAACAGGAGAGGTAGTGCTCGGAGTAGTGACAGGGGAAGGAGTAAGCCTGGTCGTAGCAGGGAGCGGGAGCAGGGAGTAGCAGTATGGGCAGTGCTCAGAGTTGGGGTAGTGATAGGGGTTGGGGTAGTGATAGGGGTTGGGGTAGTGATAGGGTGGGTAGTGATAGGGGTTGGGGTAGTGATAGGGGTAGTGATAGGGGTAGTGATAGGGGTAGTGATAGGGGTTGGGGTAGTGATAGGGGTAGTGATAGGGGTTGGGGTAGTGATAGGGGTTGGGGTAGTGTTAGGGGTTGGGGTAGTGATCAGAGTTGGGGTAGTGATAGGGGTAATGGTAGTGATAGGGGTTGGGGGTAGTGATAGGGGTTGGGGTAGTGATAGGGGTTGGGGTAGTGATAGGGGTTGGGGTAGTGATAGGGGTAATGGTAGTGATAGGGGTTGGGGTAGTGATAGGGGTTGGGGTAGTGATAGGGGTTGGGGTAGTGATAGGGGTTGGGGTAGTGATAGGGGTTGGGGTAGTGATAGGGGTTGGGGTAGTGATAGGGGTTGGGGTAGTGGTAGGGGTTGGGGTAGTGATAGGGGTTGGGGTAGTGATAGGGGTTGAGGTAGTGATAGGGGTTGAGGTAGTGATAGGGGTTGGGGTAGTGATAGGGGTTGAGGTAGGGATAGGGGTTGGGGTAGTGATAGGGGTTGGGGTAGTGGTAGGGGTTGGGGTAGTGATAGGGGTTGGGGTAGTGATAGGGGTTGGGGTAGTGATAGGGGTTGGGGTAGTGATAGGGGTTGGGGTAGTGGTAGGGGTTGGGGGTAGTGATAGGGGTTGGGGTAGTGATAGGGGTTGGGGTAGTGATAGGGGTTGGGGTAGTGATAGGGGTTGGGGTAGTGATAGGGGTTGGGGTAGTGGTAGGGGTTGGGGTAGTGATAGGGGTTGGGGTAGTGATAGGGGTTGAGGTAGGGATAGGGGTTGGGGTAGTGATAGGGGTTGGGGTAGTGATAGGGGTTGGGGTAGTGGTAGGGGTTGGGGTAGTGGTAGGGGTTGGGGTAGTGGTAGGGGTTGGGGTAGGGGTTGGGGTAGTGGTAGGGGTTGGGGTAGTGATAGGGGTAGTGATAGGAGTTGGGGTAGTGATAGGGGTTGGGGTAGGGGTTGGGGTAGTGATAGGGGTAGTGATAGGGGTTGGGGTAGTGATAGGGGTTGGGGTAGTGATAGGGGTAGTGATAGGGGTTGGGGTAGTGATAGGGGTTGGGGTAGTGATAGGGTTGGGGTAGTGATAGGGGTTGGGGTAGTGATAGGGGTTGGGGTAGTGATAGGGGTTGAGGTAGTGATATGGGTTGGGGTAGTGATAGGGGTTGGGGTAGTGATAGGGGTTGGGGTAGTGATAGGGGTTGTGATAGGGGTAGTGATAGGGGTTTTGATAGGGGTTATGGTAGTGATAAGGGTAGTGATAGGGGTTGGGGTAGTGATAGGGGTAGTGATAGGGGTAGTGATAGGGGTTGTTATAGGGGTTGGGGTAGTGATAGGGGTAGTGATAGGGGTAGTGATAGGGGTTATGGTAGTGATAAGGGTAGTGATAGGGGTAGTGATAGGGGTAGTGATAGGGGTAGTGATAAGGGTAGTGATAGGGGTAGTGATAGGGGTTGTTATAGGGGTTGGGGTAGTGATAGGGGTAGTGATAGGGGTAGTGATAGGGGTAGTGATAGGGGTTGTTATAGGGGTTGGGGTAGTGATAGGGGTTGGGGTAGTGATAGGGGTAGTGATAGGGGTAGTGATAGGGGTAGTGATAGGGGTTGGGGTAGTGATAGGGGTAGTGATAGGGGTAGTGATAGGGGTAGTGATAGGGGTAGTGATAGGGGTTGTTATAGGGCTAGTGATAGGGGTTGGGGTAGTGATAGGGGTTGGGGTAGTGATAGGGGTAGTGATAGGGGTAGTGATAGGGGTTGTTATAGGGGTTGGGGTAGTGATAGGGGTAGTGATAGGGGTAGTGATAGGGGTTGTTATAGGGGTTGGGGTAGTGATAGGGGTTGGGGTAGTGATAGGGGTAGTGATAGGGGTAGTGATAGGGGTAGTGATAGGGGTTGGGGTAGTGATAGGGGTAGTGATAGGGGTAGTGATAGGGGTAGTGATAGGGGTAGTTATAGGGGTTGTTATAGGGGTTGGGGTAGTGATAGGAGTTGGAATAAGCTTGGTCCTGGCTGGGGGACAGGCATCATAACCAGATTATTTTGGAAAAATCAGCTGTGAATAGATCTACCAAGAGCTCTAGATTATCCAGGAAACCATCACCGAGTCTCAAGTCGCCTTTTCAGTCAGGTCCTGCCACGTTTTCATAAAGTGTGATGTTGCAATGTGAAATCCCAATCAAGTATGTTTAGCTATTGGAGGATGAATCTGTAGAACCCAGAGAAAACCCACACAGAGCAGGGGGAGAGAGAATATAAACTCCCCTCCACATTTAGAATCAACATCACGAGTTTTAGAGTTATTTGAATGCTAGATATGTCCACGTGATAAGCCACTTCCTTGAGCTGTAGTTTCTAATAGCCCGGTCGCTTCTGAAAAATATCTTCATAGCTCAGTGGGCACCCGAGTTGGGAATCAAACCCAGGCTCTGCCTGCTGCGAGGCACGAGTGTTACCACTGGTGCTGCCACCCTTCCGAGTCTCAAAACTCCTTCTCAGGAGGGTACTGTTCAGGTTGTCTGGCCAACACAAACCACCATCACCACCACAGTAATCTGAAAATCAAACGCAAACCATAATTAACTAAACAAAAATTAATTTATTACAAATCATTCCCCATCACACATCCCAATGAATATGAAAACAATAAAATGCAATGCATTATGGTCTATGATTCAGTGCATGGTTCAGACTCGGCCTTTGGGGGGGGGGGGCGATGGGGGAGTAGTGGCCGCCCAAGTCGCAACAAACGCGGGTGGTGCTGCCGTATAAATCCGCGAGCGCCGGAGAGCGTTTAAAGCTCACGCCCCACATTTACCGATGCCGCCCTACGACGCACTCCCAACAGGCCACACTTAAACTCGAGCGGGGCCCTAACGCCTTGCTCGGCATCCTCCAAAGGCGCTGCGAGGTTGCCTCGAAAGTAAGGATGACCGGCGTAAGACGCAACAACCACTCGTAGTAGTAGTACAAGGCACGCCTATCCACAGCCCACAATAACCCTATGCTATCGTGCCCTCTTTTCCTATAATCCTATGAGGACAAAATTAGGCGAGATGGCTGCGGTATGCCACAAAATCATTCCCCCCGCGTTAGCGATTCCAGAATGTTCCGGCTGAATCTAAGCACTGATCATGAGTTCGTCTGGTGGACAGAACACGATGACAACAACCGTCAGGATTGTTACCATCGGTTTGCTTTCGAGGCCTGATACATTTTCCATTCACCCACTGACAGGGTCGCCCAGAGGTTTCTGGAGGCACACGACCGGCAGAATCTCGCCACCGTGTGCGTCACGGGGACGAGATGTTAGCTACCTCGCCTGGTATACAGCAGGCCCTGGGTTTGATTCCGACCCTGACGCCTGCTGTATATATATTTCCTTGAGTTTGAACGGCTCTCTCTCTCTTCCCGTGGTCGCGTGGATTTTTCTCCGGGACCTCCGATTTTGCCCTCCACATTTAGAGTCAACATCACGCGTTTAGAGTATTTGGCTGCTATAAATTTCCAAGTGATAAGCCACTTCTTTGAGCTATAATTTGTGATAGCCAGTTCGCTTCTGAAAAAGAACTATATGGCGCAGCGGGGCCTTACCTGGTAAAATAAAAATAATTGAGTTTTTAATGAAAAAAAAAGTTTCATTTAGTTAATAGAATGCCACGTGGAGGCCCTATTATCCTTAGCGACAATAAAGCTGGTCCATTGAAAGGTCTTCGTTTTGTGTGAGACGCGGGAAATAGACTGTCCCCTATTCCTTCTAGATTTGAAGCTTTCGTGACTGCAAGGATTCATAGTCTTAGGTTTTTTCGGTAAAGTCACGTAGGTAAAAAATTAAAATTAATAAAAGTAAAATAAAAAATTAAATAAAAATCACGACGTTTCGGAGGCAATACAAGCTTCCGTCTTCAGGTGGAACCGTCACAGCACAATAGCTGTACTTTTATTAATTACAATTTTTTACCTACGTGACTTTACCGAAAAAACCTAAGAATATGTCCCCTAATGCCCCCTCGACCTCTGGGTGTCCCTGTCCACTTTAGCCGAGCCTGCCATGGTGGCATAGCGTGATAACAGCATACACGGTATCATTATATTATATAGTATCATAAAAAAATGGCACAACCCGGAATAATTGCAGCACATTGCTCCGAGCGTCTATTCTTTCGGAGTATTAAACACACCAGATACAGCAACCACTCAAGGTGGATTTATCCTTGCGGATTCCGATGTGGCATAAGACCAAGCTAAAACAACATTAATAACCCTGCACGCTATATACAATGCTTTAGCAAAAAAGAAACCCACACATTTCTCACAATTACATATACAGTATCATGTTTCGTTATTATTTTTGTTGCTTTAAATCGTAACCATTTCATATTTTAATAAAAAAAAGTATTACTTTGTGGTCAGTGACGATGTCTTCTGTAGTATTGCACAACACACAATGCCCACAGACTCAAATCCGACTGTCCACATTGCTAACAGAGATGGACGAAGTATTTTGAAATTACAGACGACTGGGGGGGAAATGTAATTTAAATACACACACCGACTGCTGCGATCTCCGTCGTTCAACAAACGGTGGTTGAAATTGAACTTCATCTGAATATATAGAGGACTGCAGAACTTGGGGCAATTGTTGGTAGCGGCGGCTGCCTTACGGTTTGTCCAATGGGCTTCATCGGCGACTGACATCGGTTTTTGTAAATGACGAATCTAAAATGCACGTGCTAATTCGAACATTGCATGGAATTTTGCAAGCAGCCGGCGTCTCTGCCGTGACACCAGCAACCACGCGCGCGAATTTGAGCGACGCACGAGGCATCCGAGTTGTCGATTTGCGAACGCGTTCAAATGTGGGCTCGGAGGGTCTGCGACAAGGGGGCAGGTGAGTTTGATGACGACTCTGCCGGAGACGACAGCTTTAAATATATCTCTCTACAACATCCTAAATCGTCGTCGCCGTCGCCCCGGTAGAAATAAAACTAGGACGAGCAACCCGCGACAATTCGCTGGTTAGGCCGAAACTAACAAATAAAAACAATTACATTCCACACCGTAGCCTCTTCCTTAGAAAAGTAAAAAAAAATGTTTTAATGGATAACCGTTTTTTTGTTACTGAATTAAAATCTCATGAATGCGAATGCATTTTTTTTTTAAGAAATAAATGTAAATCTTTTATGATGAAAAAAAGTAATAGGCTTCACCCTCTCGGGCAAATAAAGTAAGGGTCCCATCGATGTCATTCTTTACATATAAAAAAACAAACCAATCTCAACATTGTTAAATCCATAATTGGGTTTGGAGAAACGTTTAACATCGATCGTGTGGATATGTTTAGAAAATAGACTTTCCGTTTTCTCCGGATTATAAGACACACTCCAGAAAGTCAGACGGATAACCAAACACAACTAGCGGATTACAAGACGCACCCCCCCATTCTCCCCCACCCTAAATTTTGTTACATTTTTTAAAGAGGGCAGAAGGGCGGGGTGATAAAGTGCGTCTAATATTCTAGAGAATACGGTCACCCGAAAATGGACATCGCCACGGCTTCTACAGGATTTCAAATGGTCCACCTGTGTTTTTCCCCGTGAGAGAAAAACCCACCTATGACATATTTCTATTGTGATGTTACGCAGTATCTGCGACTCTAAAAGAACGTTAAATTACACGCATTTCGCAGGCACCTTAGAACACACGGGTCGAGCATCAAACACCGTGTCTCTTAACACACAAATGGATCCTCATCCAAAAGACATAACTCTGATAATGTGCACTGTCCTTGAAGTTGATTGGTCCACACCCGAGACAGCTTTCCTTAGAGCCTAGTCTCACATGGGTTGGACCAGATGACGCCAAAAGGCGCACAACTCAAAGACAATGCACCATCAGAGTATGAGAGCTCGGGGCAAGCATCTACACTATGGGAACCTCATTTGCCAGTAAAAATATGATAATTGGTTTTTTACCCTTCTATCTGGCCACAAAAAAAGGTGTCAGTTTTGTTGCCAGATAGAAGGGTTCCCATAGTGGATCCTCATCCACCCTACCGCACACAGACGCAGCGACAAACGTGGAACAGTGTTACCCCCCACCACCCCCCCCGATACTTCACGCAAACACGTGGCGGACGGGAGACCACTGCTGAGTCCCACCCACGTGGCCACGTGTCTCTGCAGCGTAGTTTGTTTAGTTTGTTGTCCTTCCCCCGCGCCTCCGACTGGCACGGTTGGCTACGTACGGTGCGAAAGAAGTTCGACACACGTACATGCGTGAGCCGTCCACCTCAAGCGCAACATTAATGGGGCCCATCTTCTTGGTTCTTTCGGTAGTCACGTAGAAGGGAAGTAATAAAATAATAAAAATAAAACATAATAAAGTAATATATTATTTTATTGTTTTATTTTTATTATTATAATATTATTATAATATTGTTTTATTTTTATTATTTTATTACTTCCCGTCTACGTGACTTTACCGAAAGAACCAAGAAGATGAATCCCTGCAGTCACGAAAGCTTTAAATCGAAAATTAATGGGGCCTTCAATAAACACACTTTTATTTTTTTGCGACCGGTGCCTTCTCGACTTTGGGCATGAATTGTCCAAATGCGTCGGACGTACCACAGAGTCCACGAGTCGTCCGTAGCGGCCGAGACCGTGTCAGCTTATTGGTTTTCAATGCCTTGATGTTGCCAATAACGGGTTAATGAAGCGATAACCGTCTGAAATGAATGGGGTTTGTGTCAGATAATTCACTCTTCATTAGCCAGGAAAATAAAAAAAATTAAAAGGGTTTGCCACCTGAGATGGTGAATTTTCTACGTAGCTATTTCACGGCCAATAGTATTCGTAATTTTGCTGTCAGGTCGTGTGAACACGTGTCTCGAGATCCGAGCTCGTGTTAACAAACCTGTCGATGATGGAAGCAATGTCCATCGAATACGCCGTAACGATTTCATTGTTGTGAGATTACTCGGCAACAACAACAACAAACAAAACCACGGGTCATGTAAATTTGGCACATTTCATTTAGGTGACGCTTTTTATTCACTGGCGCTGGTTGGGTGGAGGAGGGTTTGACAACACACAATTGGGGCGATGACCTCGTGCCCTCGAGTCACGAAAAATGTGGCGAGGAGGGTTGAACAGGTGAAGCCCGTGCCATTACGACGCTTCGGGCAAAGTTTACATGTTGGCGTTTTGCGTCGTAGATCGATTGGCCCATCGATAGTGGCGTTGGCACGTCCTGATAAGACGCAACAGCTGGGCAAACAGGGTCAGGGGTTAGCCAGCACGTGTATATATATGTATATGGCCATTTGACATCTTTAAATGGCTCACCTCGGAGCAATTAGACTTCTAAAATTAATGAAATCGGCGGAAAAATATCAAGTCAACTGAGGCACGGACAACCGCAATCGGATTACAGGCCACAGCTTGTCGCAAATTAGTGACCGAGGATCGATAATCCCACATAACGTCGTTTCTCAAATAGGTCGTCACTTCATTGTTAAAACCGCTACCTGATTAGCGTCACGGACAGCATCATCGTCCCGTCCCCTCTCGTTATCCGTCGCCTCTCAGCCGTCGCCACCACCTACTTACCCTGTAAATCGCCTTGATTGACGTCGCTTTGATTGACGCCGTTTCGATATCCGTCGTCGGGACCTTTTAGGAACGCATCCCCGACGTAAACCGGCGTGTTTTACGTCACCCCCCCTCCCCCCCGCTGTAACGATTCGATGCGTTGCCGCAAAAAACCGTGGTCACGATTCAAATCAGGAATCGATTCTTTCCACACGAGAAGCCACTTCTGGTCCAACACCATGTGAGACTAGGCTCTAAGAAAAGCTGTCTCGGGTGTGGACCAATCAATTTCAAGCACAGTGCATGCATTATCAGAGTTGTGTTTTTTGTTTGCATTCCGACCGCAGGTGTTGTGGTCAATGCAAACATGACTCCTTGTCAAAAAAAGGTGTCAGTTGTGTTGCCAGATAAAAGGGTAAAACACCAAAGATCATATTTTGCTACTGGCAAAGGAGGTTCCAATGGTGTAAAAGTCACTTCTTGTTTGAGCTATCATTCGTGATGGACAGATCGCTTCTGAAAAATAAGCTCATAGCTCAGTGGGCTATATCAGTTAAAATAAAAATAATTTAGTTTTATTTTGTATATTTTTCGTGTGACTTTCTGACCCCCGTGCCCCGACTGGACATCTGTGAAGAAGAGCTTCATAGCTCATCGGATTCCTCCTCCAGCTATAAATAAATATTCTGACTCTGCTGCAGTGGTCGCGTGTTAACCCGCTCCCACACAACAACGGGACGGGGACCGGTGCCCTACCCGCCGATCTGCGTGAACGTTTCACGCGTGCAGAGCAGGCGTCGCGAGATGAAACGTCGATGGATCCAACGGTCGGGGAGACGTTGGACTTCCTCTCGTCTCGCCGTGTGCGGGAAAGGAACGCGCGGTGAGTCGCAAGCTTGCGGTGATGGCCCCTCAAGCCACCGCAGCCCCGAGTGGCAGATACACACGCGATGTGACAATTACGCAAATAGGTCATTTGTATATTTGTATTTTTAAATATACTGGGGCTGTGGTGGGTTTGAGGGTTTCTGAAGGCGGGTCGATCAAACGTGAGTCCAGACTAACGTTTGGGTTGCGATAGTTCAACGTTTCGCAGCCACGGACGAAGGCATTGTCGCGTGTTTACATCTGATGTTTCTTAAACGAGACGTTGTCCGTTACCACATTTGTTCCTCGTTTGTACGCTTAGTTTGTTGCTGTTAAAGTGTATCCTGTTGAACCAGAGACCGGGACAGGAGTCTCATTTGCAAAAGCAATTGGGTTGCCAACTCTGACCGAAGCCATCGCTGGAGGTCTCATTTTTCTACAATTAATTTATTTTCTTTTTAAAAAAATCTCTTATTACACTAATTTCAGGGTGCTGATTCCAAATTTGATCTCAGATTTGCTATATCACATCTCATTTTATGCAATCGGCATACCCCATTTTCATTGATTTGACCCGAAATGAACTCTGTCACTTATGATTGCAAGTTGTTGCGAGTCAGTGACTGCTTTAGTGTTAAAATATGGTGCTGTATTTTTAGGATAGTGTGTTTATAATATCATTTTATGTAGATATCCACATTTATTTAATATTTTTCTTCTGCAGTTTTTATTGAAAATGCAATATTTGATATCTCAAAAACTTGATGTGATAGACAAAAACTGATGCCAGATTTGGAATCATCACCCCAAAATTACATTAAAACCGTTGTAATACCTTATGCCAGAAAAAGCGTGTTGACCAGTGTTATTCTTAAAATATCCCGCATTGATTTCAATCGTCATCGGGGGGGTGGGGGGTGGGGGGGAGGAGATCAATACAGATAATTACTGATAATCTGGTAAGAGACTCCACCGGACAATCTGGGAGAGTTGGTAACCCATGAGTCACCAGCGGGTATTAGTCTGCCACTCACTGTGGTAAATTAAACGTGCGTACGCGTGTGTGCGTGTTGAACTTCTTTTACACCATACATCACCAACCATGGCCACTGGAGGTAAATGCGGGTCACATAGCGGGGGTTTTACTCGGACGAAGGAAACTGCGCGGCAAGCACCACAATCAGTGCGCCGCGGGTGACGTCAGCCGGCATGGAATTTACCCCGCGGGTTTAAATTTGGTAGTCGGAGGGTCCTGACTCGGCAACCGGATGGGCACGGGTTCAAATCCCGGCGAAGGACTGACTCGGCTCATGACGGTCGAACGTGGGTTAAATCAAAAGCCTCTTCCGTCGGTCATCGGGGATTAACGCTGGACACAACGGAGTCGATCGGCGTTGATCCAAACCGGCAGCTCCGTGAGGGCTTGAGGATTTCGTCGAGGCTACAAGTGGCTTGGCTTGGAAGAAGATCACTTGGAGGCTTCGAGGTGAGGAGTCGGAAACAGCGTTCCCGGGGGGGAGAAATTCTTGGGATGAGAGGCTTCCCGCGAGGAGTGCGAAGAGGTCGACAGGTCGACGGAACGTTGGGGGAGGAAACCTGCGAAGGAAACTTCATGGGACGGGTTTAAGATGGTTCTCGGGAGACGATTTGAAGAGAAGCAGCGCGGAGAAACAACTCAGTTAGAAGGTCAAGGCGTCTAACCGCTGGCCAGGACCCAGCTTCTTCAGGGAAGAAGAAAAAATAATAATCACATGGTCCAATCAGAAGCCGTCTCACAGATCTTCGGGGCGACGTTGATGGGGGGGAAAAAAAAAGACGACGCAGAGAGTGGGGAGGACGGGGGGGCAGGGGTGGCGCCGGGTGCTGAGGATGACGGACTGGGAAGGGTGGCCGAGCGAGGCGGGGCAGGGCGGCGCCGGCGCTAGCAGCTGGCGTAGCGGTCGCTCCACGTGGTGACCCAGTGGCGCGCCCGCGGGCCCCGCCGCGGCGCCGGCCTGTCGGGCCGGGAGACTCCTCGCTGGCGCTCCTCCTTGCGGATGCGCACCGCCTGGTACTTGGGGACGTGCGCGTAGGGGGACGGGCGCTTGAAGAAGCCGCACTGCGATCGGGGTGGGGGGCAAGCGGGGGGGGGGGGGCGGTACGGGCAAGGTGAGACGTGACATCGCCATTGTCTTAACAACAACAATAACACCATTGGTACCTCATTTGGCAGTAAAAAATATGATAATTGGTTTTTGACCCTTTTATCTGGCAACAAAACTGACACCAAGGACAGTGCATACATTATCAGAGTTGTGTTTTTTGTTTGCATTATGGCTGCAGGTATTGTGGTCTATGCAAACATGACTCCTCGTATAAAAGGTGTCAGTTTTGTTGCCAGATAAAAGGGTAAAAAAACAATTATCAACAACAATAACAGTGCGTCACCGCCGCACAGTATTAGCTCGCTCTCGAAGACAGCACCACCACCACCACAACAACACCCCAGCTTCATTAAGCTCGGCTCTGCCGCCTGTTGTCCGGCACGATGTCCGACGTTTCGTGCCACGTGCTGGAAGCTCCTTTGGTTAACCGGGAAGAAAACATTCGGTTTCCGCCTGGAGCGGTATGAGCGAGATTAGCGTGACCGTGGCACAGCGAGCGGCCCATCATCCCTTCCTCCGGAGTCGACAAAACAGGTACCACTTTGTGGGGAAGTCAGCAGCAGTTGTCTTGTGAATTAAACGATAAACATTTTATTTTATTTTACCAGGTAAGGCCTCGCTGAGCTGCATAGCTCTTTTTCAGAAGTGAAATGGCCACAATTTACGGCTCATCGAAGTGGCTTATCGTGTGGAAATATAGAGCAGCTAAATCCGCTCGACATATGATTTTAAATGTGGTGGGGAAACACCGGAGGACCCGGAAAAAAAAATCACTGCAACATCGGGGAGAACGTGAAAACTCCAAATATACAGGCAGACTGGCCCCTGCCATGGGAATGTGGAATTTCCATCCACTGGCTCATTTGCGCGGGAAATCATTTGACAACCGGGACGAAGAGATTTAAAAATATGTATGCTGAACTTCTTTTGCACCGTACGTAGTCAACCGTGCTAATCGGAGGCAATGGCGGAGCCAGGATTTTCAGGTCGGGGGGGCAATGAAAAATGATAATTGTTAGTAAGGAGTTGTTAGTAAGTAAGGAGTTGTTAGTAAATAAGGACTTGTCCCTTGCTTTTCATTCGACGCGTGTGTGGCGATGTCGCAGCCATCGATCAAGGGTCTAATTCGAATCGTGTGTGATCGGCATCGCGCTCGCTGAAGGTGTTTGCCTTCAGGGAAGTCGTGTGCTGTATACACAACTGCGCACAATTATGTGAGTCGCTTATAACTGCTTTTGCCATTACTTATTGGCAATTATGGACTCAGACTATTGTCCTATCATCTCATAGAGTCTCTGGCACGTAATAATATACTACACAGTGAAAGTGGGGGTCGCAAAATGCCGATTTATTACTAATAAACCCCAATGATCCGATCAAAATTAGGGATTTCGATCGGATCATTGGGGGGGCACGTGCCACCCCACCCCCCCCCCCTCTGGAGGTGCGGGGGGAAGGACAACAAACTAAACACAAAAAGCTGTTCTAAAGAAATGAGCCTTCAATCGAGATTTAAAAGTGCATCGATCAAGTGGCTTCCGAATAACAATAAAATAATTTGAGCGTGCGGTCTGCTAAGTGGCGGTGAGGACACGGGCGAGCGACCTGCAGAATCACCGCCACCCCCCTCCTAGACCACGAGATCAACTCAAGGGGGCAATCGACCGATTAGGGGGTGCCGCGTTGGAGAGATGTTAACTCCCTCGCCTGGTATACAGGAGGTCGTGGGTTCGATCCTGACCATTGACCCCTGATGCTTGTTGTATATTTTTGAGTTTGCGTGTCTCTCTCTCTCCCTCCCTGTGGTCGCGTGGATTTTTCTCCGGATCCTCCCGTTTTTCCCTCTACATTTGTAATCGACATCACGCGTTTTAGATTGTTTGGCTGCTATAAATTTCCACGTGATAAGCCACTTCATTGAGCTATCATTTCGAACCAAGACGGCCACCACGTCGCGCGCTTTTGGATGCGCTTCTGCGGCCGTCTGGAACACTCTCCCGATATTAGGAAGCCACTGGTAGCTATGTGCTTTTAAATCATCTACAACGAAAACTTCTTTCTTTAGAACTGCTTTTTGTGTTTAGTTTGTTGTCCTTGTGTTGGCTACGTACGGTGTGAAAGAAGTTCAGCATATATTCTGAAAAATATCTATACAGCTCAGCGGGCCTTATACCCTGGTAAAATAAAAAAAAGTGTAAAATGTATTTCCTTTAGGACCGTTACTCTGCAGCATATCCGCGGTGCACTGTTGGCTCCTGGAGCGACCGCAGTTGGCTCCACGTGAGCTCATCTAGCGGTTCGTGCCTTTGGACCCCGCAGCCGCGAGTGTGCGCAGAATGCCCCCAGGGCTTTGCGCTACCACGAGTGTGACTGGATGCCCTCAGGGCTCTGCGCTACCGCGAGTGTGTGTGGATGCCCCCAGGGCTGATCGAAACGGGCATTGGAGGTGACACCCAAAGGTCGACCACCATCGGGAAAGGGAAGACCAAAAGCCAGATGCTGGTGGCAATGACGATGATGATGATGTACCACTGGCTGCGCAGGAAACGGACGTCTTAAATTTGGATCTCCGTGGCGGCGAGGCTGTAAGAGTTGACCTGAGATGGCAGGGATGACTGTGATGGATGGGATACGGTGGATGGGTGCGGTGCGATCAACAGTATTGACCTCTTGCGTGCGGTGTGAGGCGACGTGTGGTCTCGTGAGACATCCACTCGCAACCGAGTTGGAGGTCGATTTCGTAAACGAGACCACGTAACCTAATCCTCCAATCCCTCCACCGATGCCTAGTCGCCTCTCATATCACTCTACCCCCACCACGCACTCTCCTGCCGCTGCCATCTCATCTCACTCTACTCCCCTCCACGCACTCTCCTGCCTCTCCACTCTCATCTCACTCTACTCCCCTCCACACACTCTCCTACCTCTTCCCTCTCATCTCACTCTACTCCCCTCCACGCTCTCTCCTGCCTCTTCCCTCTCATCTCATTCTACTCCCCTCCACGCACTCTCCTACCTCTCCACTCACTCTACTCCCCTCCACGCACTCTCCTGCCTCTTCCCTCTCATCTCACTTACTCCCCTCCACGCACTCTCCTACCTCTCCACTCACTCTACTCCCCTCCACGCACTCTCCTGCCTCTCCCCTCTCATCTGACTCTACTCCCCTCCACGTACTCTCCTGCCTCTACCCTCTCATCTCACTCTACTCCCCTCCACGCACTCTCCTGCCTCTCCCCTCTCATCTCACTCTACTCCCCTCCACGCTCTCTCCTGCCTCTCCCCTCTCATCTCACTCTACTCCCCTCCACGCACTCTCCTGCTTCTCCCCTCTCATCTCACTCTACCCTCTCCACGCACTCTCCTACCTCTTCCATCTCTCACTCTACCCCCTCCACGCACTCTCCTACCTCTCCCTTCTCATCTCACTCTACTCCCCTCCACGCACTCTCCTGCCTCTACCCTCTCATCTCACTCTACTCCCCTCCACGCACTCTCCTGCCTCTCCCCTCTCATCTCACTCTACTCCCCTCCACGCACTCTCCTACCTCTCCCCTCTCATCTCAATCTATTCCCCTCCACGCACTTTCCTGCCTCTCCCTTCTCATCTCATTCTACTCCCCTCCACGCACTCTCCTGCCTCTCCACTCACTCTACTCCCCTCCACGCACTCTCCTGCCTCTTCCCTCTCATCTCACTCTACTCCCCTCCACGTACTCTCATGCCTCTACCCTCTCATCTCACTCTACTCCCCTCCACGCTCTCTCCTGCCTCTCCCCTCTCATTTCACTCTACTCCCCTCCATACTCTCTCCTGTCTCTCCCTTCTCGTCTCATTCTACTCCCCTCCACGCACTCTCCTGCCTCTCCCCTCTCACGCATCCACGAGCGCTCCGAATGACGCGTGCATCTCCCCCGCGCAATGCAATCGAGTCGCCACCTCCTTTCTCCTTCTCGCTCACTCGCTCACTATCTCTCTCACTCGCTCGCTCTCTCAATCGCTCGCTCTCTCAATCGCTCGCTCTCTCAATCGCTCGTTCGCTCGCTCGCTCACGCGCGGGCCGACGGGCGAGCGAACACGTGCCAACGGACAACAAATGAACGGGCAAGACGTCGAGCAAAAAAAGGTCAAACAAAACGAAATAAAAGGCAAACGAACAGGGAAATGAAATGCAGGATGATGTGGAGTTACCGAGATGTTGGGGGGGAGGGAGTGAGGGGGGCCAGGGTGGGGGGGCTAAATGTCCTCCTCCGCCGTGAGCCTGTTGGTCTCCGAGGGCTGCGCGCCGATCTTCGCCTTGTGCAGCTTGGCCTCATAGCGCATCTCCTTGCTCGTCCGCTTGAAGAATCCACACTGCGTGCGTGTGCGTGCGTTTATGTATTTGTGAATGTGTTGGTGTGTGCGTGCAGGTATGCGTGCGTGCGTACGTGCGTGTGTGGGTGCGTGCGTGCGTGAGAACCGACGAATGCGTGTGTGTGTGTACGTTGTTTATGTGTGTGCACGTGCGTGCGCGCGTGTGAGAGCAAACGTGTGTGTGTGCGTGTGTATGCGAGTGAATGAAGATGTGTGTGCGATTGAATGTGGGTGTGTGAATGTGTGTGCGCGCGAGTGAATGTGTGTGTGCGAGTGAAGGTGTGTGTGTGAATGTGTGCGCGAGTGAATGTGTGTGTGCGGGTGAATCGAGTGAATGTGTGTGTGCGAGTGAATGTGTGTAAATCGAGTGAATGTGTGTGTGTGCGCGAGTGAATGTGTGTGCGCGAGTGAATGTGTGTGTGCGTGTGAATGTGTGTGTGCGAGTGAATCGAGTGAATGTGTGTGTGCGTTTGAGTGAATGTGTGTGTGCGTGTGTGTGTGTGTGTGCGAGCGCGCGCGCGTGTATTAGGAGGCGATGGGTGTTAGTGAATGGCAGCGAGGGGGTGGCGATGGGATTCACGCACGCGTACAAATACAGAAACGAACAAAAAAAACACAAATTAAAATGAATTAAACAATAATGGTAATGGCGTACGTACAGACGCGCTCACAGACAAAGACTCCACACCACGTGTCGGACACCGCCGTCAAACACAGCAACGTGCAGTCGCACGCAACAATAATGAACGCCGCTGATGTACTCGCGGTAAACAATGTGTTTCGTTCTCGCCGAATGCATTGTCTCTATACATGCTGCAGCATCTTTACCTGTGTGTGTGCGTGTGTTGTGGGGAGCGGTAGTGTAGCGGTTAGCACGCTGCGCTATGAACCCGGCGACCCGGGTTCGATTCCGCTCACGGCTAACACCAGTGACGATTATCTGAACCGGTCCAAGGCCTCCTCTAGGTCGACTCAGCCTCAAATGAGTACCTGGTGCGGTGTGTAAACATCGCCACTGGGGAGACAAAGGCGGTTGGGCGTGGTGCTGGCCACCCACCCCCTCGTGTACCGTTCTGGCCTTCATAGGTGCTCGCTAACAGCACTTGCTCCGACAGTCTGTTGAGGCTATACGGGAGATCTTTGTCTTTGTATTGTGTGTGTACATGGGGAGCGGTGGTGCAGTGGTGAGTGACAAAGATTTGAACCGGTCCAAGGCCTCCTCTAGGTGGACCCGGCCTCAAACGAGTACCTGGTGCGGTGTGTAAATATCAGCACTGGGGAGACAAAGGCGGCCGGGCATCGTTCTGGCCACACCTACCACCTGGGGCTGCTCGCAATCGGAAACGATGCGAGTTCAAATCCTGATCGGGGGGAGGTTGGTTCAGCCCATCATCCCTCAGGGGCCTATACATTTCGTACCACTTTGTGGGGAAGTCAGCGGTGGTTTTTCCTACAGATAGACTTGTCCCCGCCACAGTAATGCATAATTTCCACTGGGGGCTAAGTCAGGACCGTAAGCTCGATCAGGACGTTGATCGGCCGACGCCTCGACACTCAATCGAGCGATCGAACCGCTCCTGACTCGGGAGAAGACTTACGAACTAAATTTTATTTTGCCAGGTAAGGCCCCGCCGACTTGGATATCACAAATGACAGCTCAACGAAGTGGCTCAGCACCATCATCATCACGTGGAAATTTACAAGCGGCCAAACACTCTGAAACGCGCGACATTGATTCGAAATGTGGAGAGAAAAAAGCGGAGGACCCGGAAAAAAATCAATGCGACCACGTGGAGAGAGAGACACGCGGACCAGGGTCGGGATCGAACCCACGACCTCCTGTATACCAGGCGAGGTAGTTAACATCTCTCCACCACGGCGCCCGCTAATCGATCGATTTCCCCCTTGAGTGGACCTCGTGGTCTAGGAGGGGGGTGGCAGTGAACCTGCAGGTCGCTCGCCCGTGTCCTCACCGCCACTTAACAAGACCGCACGCTCCATTTCTTTCAATCTTGACTTTGAGCTTTCGTGACTGCAGGGATTCATATTCTTTGGGTCATTCGGCAAAGTCACGTGGATAGGTTCAAAGAAAATAACAAAAAATAAAAAAAACGACGACGTTTCGATCGCATCACAAGCGTTCGTCGTCCTCCTGATGCTCTTCCTGATGACGAGCGCTTGTGTTGCGATCGAAACGTCGTCGGTTTTGTCATTTCTTTGTTATTGTCTTTGAACCTATCAATTTGAACTCCCCACCCTCCCTGTATCTCCTTCCTGGCTACCAAGCCCTCCCACTCCCCACCTCGGCATTTTCTGCCGTGCTTGAGTCTTAATTGTAGCCTCCACTCCCTCTACCCCACACCCCCACCCCTCCCTGTCTCACCTCCCTGGCTCCTCCCCCCCTTCTCTTGCCTATATGGCCTCTTGTCGCAGCAGCCCCTTTTTCCCACTTCAGCAATTGTTTCTTGCTGTGGTTGTCCCACCTGATGACGGACGCTTTTGTTGCGCCCGAAACGTCGTGATTTAATTTATTTAATTTTATAACTACACGACTTTACCCAAAGAACCAAAGAGTACGGATCCCCACAGTCACAAAAACTTCAAATCTAGACTATCTACGTGACTTTGCCAAAAGACCCAAACGACATTCAATTTCTTTCTTATTATTGGGAATCCACTGGGGCTTTAGCTCTCCTGCATGCCAGGCGAGGTAGTTAACATCTCCTAGCCGCCGTGGTGCCGGGTGCCGGGCGGCTCACCTTCCACAGCAGCACGACAAGCAGCAGAAGCACGAAGACACCGGCGGCGACCGACAGAGCGATAACCCACCAGGGGATAGGCGCCGACGGGGTCACCGTGCCGTCGGGGTCCAGCGTGAGACGCACCTGCGCGGAGACGGAACTGTCAACGACTCTTTACGTGGAAATAAATAAAATTTAATAATAATAATAGAATGCGACGTTTCGATTGCAACACAAGCAACCATCTTCAGGTACACATGAATGAGAAAACAAACATAGTAAATTTTGATTTAAAGCTTTCGTGACTGCAGGGATTCATCTTCCTGGTTCTTTTGGTAAAGTCACATAGAAGGGAAGTAATAAAATAATAAAAATAAAACATAATAAAAACCAGGTCTGTCGAGGCGACAGCGTCTGAATGACGCTGTCTTCTCGACAGACCTGGTTTTCACCTGAGGACGGCTGCTTGTGTTGTGGCCGAAACGTCGTGAGAATTATTTTATTATGTTTTATTTTTATTATTTTATTACTTCCCTTCTACGTGACTTTACCGAAAGAACCAAGAAGACTCTTTAAACACTTTTTATTTTTTTAATATCACCGCCGTCGGCGTCATCAACTTCACCACCGCCATCACCACGAACTTCCCTTACCGACGTCACCAACAACATCATCATCGTCAACATCGCCGGGAAAAAAACTCTCAGCGACTTTCGTGAGTAGCATCATCATCACCACCATCATCACCAACGTCATCACGATCACCACCAACATCACCATCATCACCGCCGTCAACGTCACCATTATCCTTAGGTTTTTTCGGTAAAGTCACGCTTACCTACGTGACTTTAAAGTCACATTTACCTACGTGACTTTACCGAAAAAACCTAAGAATATGAATCCTTGCAGTCACGAAAGCTTCAAATCTAGAGTCACCATTATCCATAATACAGGGGTTTTTTTTGGGTTAGATGGCGTAAATATATAAACGTGTCGTTAAACCCGCCACCATCCAACACAGCCAACCAGTAAGGTTTGTCACGTAAACAGAGCATGCCAATTCATTACTATTACAGCAAACCCTGGTGTGTTGGGAGAGCAAATCTGGCTGCCGCCTGATGATGCTGGTTGTAATTACTGGCGAAACGTCGTAACGCAGCGCGCTAACCGCTGCGCCACCGCTCCACCCGTCGTGAATTCGGAGAACTGACGACGTGAATCGACGCAGCCACACCGTCCCCGTGTGACCCCTACCCCCCCCCCCGCCCCCCCCTGCCCCCACCCCCACCCCGTTAGGATCAGACACGGAACCCTCCCTTGCTCACCCTGATTGGGGTCACGTTCGGCATCTTCACGTTTGGGTTCTTGGCTCTGAAGATGATGTTGGCCGTGACGTACAACTCCATGTTTTCGTATTTGATGTAATCCTGCGGAACGGCGGGAGAGAGACAACGTTAGCACGCAGGCAAGCACTCACTCACTCACACACTCACTCACTCACACACACACTCACTCACACACTCACTCACACACTCACACACTCACTCACTCACACACTCACTCACTTACATACTCACTCACTCACACACTCACTCACTCATACATTCACCCACTCACTCACACACTCACACACTCACTCACTCACTCACACACTCACTCACTCACACACTCACTCACTCACACACTCACTCACTCACACACTCACACACTCACTCATCTACTCACTCACTCAGACACTCACCCACTCACTCACACACTCACTCACTCACACACTCACTCACACACTCACGCACTCACTCACACACTCACTCACACACACTCACTCACACACACACTCACGCACTCACTCACTCACACACACACACTCACTCACATACTCACTCACACACTCACTCACTCACACACACACACTCACTCACATACTCACTCACACACTCACTCACTCACACACTCACTCACTCACTTACATACTCACTCACTCACACATTCACCCACTCACTCACTCACACACTCACGCACTCAATCACTCACACACACTCACTCACATACTCACATACTCACACACTCACTCACACACTCACTCACTCACACACTCACTCACTTACATACTCACTCACTCACACATTCACCCACTCACTCACTCACACACTCACCCACTCACTCACACACTCACACACAGTCTGTTCAGGCTATTACTTGCTTTCGTGGTGCGGGTGGTGGTGGCGGTGGTGGCGGTATTGGTGGTGTTGGTTGTGCTGGCGGTACTGGCGATGGTGGCCGTGGTGGTGGTGGTGCTGGCGGTAGTGGCTGTGCTGGTGGTGGTGGCGGTGGTGGCGGTGCTGGCGGTGGTGATGGTGCTGGTGGTGTTGGTTGTGCTGGCGGTGGTGATGGTGCTGGTGGTGTTGGTTGTGCTGGCGGTGGTGATGGTGCTGGTGGTGGTGCTGGCGGTGGGTGCTGCAGGCACCTCACCTCCAGGAAGGTGCTGTTCCAGACGCGTGTGCGCAGCATCACCGTGCCGGCGCCCGTGAGCCCGTCGAGCGGACAGAGCAGATTCACGCAGCGCGACGACGCGCAGTCCTGCGGCGACACGCACACACAACCACCACCATCAACCACGCTGACGATCGCCACCATCAACCACGATGACGATCACCACCACCACCAACACCACCACGATGACGATGGCGAGAGATGCACAACACGCGCCGAACTACTGCGGACCATTAGAAGCTCTTCTCTCTATCTCCTCCGACCCCCTCCACCAATGATGGTTGTGGTTGATGATGATGATGGTGATGTTGTTGATGATGGTGATGATGATGATGGTTGTGGTTGATGATGATGATGATGGTGGTTGATGATGATGATGTTGTTGTTGATGATGATGATGTTGTTGATGATGGTTGTGGATGATGATGATGATGGTGATGTTGTTGATGGTGGTGATGACGATGATGATGATGGTGATGATGATGGTGATGATGATGTTGTTGATGATGATGTTGTTGATGATGGTGGTGATGATGGTGATGATGATGGTGGTGATGATGATGGTGATGATAGTTGATGATGAAGGTGATGATGGTGGTGGTGATGATGATGATGGTGGTGATCATGGTTGATGATGGTGGTGATGATGGTGATGATGATGATGGTGATACTCACGAAAGTCGCCGAGGGTTTTTTCCCTCCGCCAATCACGAGCGCCGTCTTCCTGGCCCCGCCCCCCTCAGGCTCCTCCGCCCCCCTCCTCCTCCTCCTCGCTCCACCCAGCGAGCTCTGCTGCACAACGCCACGTGACAAGTCAATCCTCGTTCGTTCCTCCTTCCTCTTCATTCCTCTTCATTCCCCGTGCATTGCATGAGCACGGTTGGCTACGTACGGTGCAAAATACATTCAACGTACGTACATCATTCATTCCCCATTCATTCATTCCCCATTCATTCTCCATTCATTCCTTGCCCATTAATTCCCCATTCATTCATTCTGTGTACGCGTGCCGCATACTCCCCCCCTCGTACCCCTCCCCTCGTACCCCTCCCCTCGTACCCCCCCTCCCCCCGTGGCCACCCACATACCCACGCACGCACGCACACACACACACATACACCCACCCACACACCCACACACCCACCCACACACGCACAAAGACAAAGATCCCCCGTACAGCCTTAACAGACTGTAGGGGCAAGTAATTGTTAGCGAGCACCTATGAAGGCCGGAACGGTACACGAGGGGGTGGGTGGCCAGCACCACGCCGGGCCGCCTTTGCCTCCCCAGTGGCGATGTTTACTACCGCACCAGGTACTCATTTCAGGCTGAGTCGACCTAGGGGAAGCCCAGGACCGGTTCAGATAATCGTCACCGGTGTTGGCCGTGAGCAGGAATCGAACCCGGGTCGCCAGGTTCATAGCACAGCGCGCTAACCACTACACCACCGCTCCCCAACCCACCCGCGCACCCACACGCGCACACACACGCGCACCCACTCACGCACGCACCCACCCACGTACCCACCCACGCACCCACCCACGCACCCACCCACCCACACACCCACCCACCCACGCACCCACCCACACACCCACCCACACACCCACCCACACACCCACCCACCCACCCACGCACCCACCCACGCACCAACCCACGCACCCACCCACGCACGCACCCACCCACGCACGCACCCACCCACGCACCCACCCACCCACACACCCACCCACCCACACACCCACCCACCCACCCACTCACGCACCTACACACCCACCCACACGCGCGTCGCTCGTTACCTCGAGGTTCAGCTCGTTGATGGTGACCCCGGCGGGCTGGCAGGTCACGTGTGGCTGTGCGCCCAACGCCGTGTGGACGCTCACCAGGTAGAGCAGCCACTTCCCCGACGCGGTGGTGGTGGGCACCGAGACGTTCACCAGCACCGTGCCATCCTCGTTGTTCGCCAGCAGCGGCTTGCCAAGGTTACTCACCTGCCGGCGGGGGGGGGGTGGAGATGGCGGCGGTGATGTGAAATAGCGGTGGGGAGGAGGGGGTGATGGTGGTGGTGGTGGTGAGGGTGGGAGTGGTGGTGGTGAGGGTGGGAGTGGTGGTGGCGGAAGTAGTGGCGGAGGTGGTGGTGGTAGGGGTGATGATGGTGGTGGTGGTGATGGTGGTGGTGACGGTGGGAGTGGTGGTGGTGAGAGTGGTGGTGATGGAAGTAGTGATGGAGGTGGTGGTGGGGGTGATGATGGTGGTGGTGAGGGTGGGAGTGGTGGTGGCGGAAGTAGTGGCGGAGGTGGTGGTGGTAGGGGTGATGATGGTGGTGGTGATGATGGTGATGACGGTGGTGGTGGTGGTGAGGGTGGGAGTGGTGGTGGTGAGAGTGGTGGTGGCAGAAGTAGTGGCGGAGGTGGTGGTGGTGATGATGGTGGTGGTGGTGGTGAGGGTGGGAGTGGTGGTGGTGAGAGTGGTGGTGATGGAAGTAGTGGTGGAGGTGGTGGTGGTAGGGGTGATGATGGCGGTGGTGGTGAGGGTGGGAGTGGTGGTGGTGGTGGTGAGGGTGGGAGTGGTGGTGGCGGAAGTAGTGGTGGAGGTGGTGGTGGTAGGGGTGATGACGGTGGTGGTGGTGGGGTGATGATGGTGGTGGTGAGGGTGGGAGTGGTGGTGACGGAGGTGGTGGTGGTAGGGGTGATGACGGTGGTGGTGGTGAGGGTGGGAGTGGTGGTGGTAGGCGTGGTGGTGACATAATTATTGGTAGAGGTCGTGGTAGGGGTGATGACGGTGGTGGTGGTGAGGATGGGAGTGGTGGTGGTGAGGGTGGGAGTGGTGGTGGAGGAAGTAGTGGCGGAGGTGGTGGTGGTAGGGGTGATGATGGTGGTGGTGGTGGGGGTGATGACGGTGGTGGTGGTGAGGGTGGGAGTGGTAGTGGCGGAAGTAGTGGCGGAGGTGGTGGTGGTAGGGGTGATGGTGGTGGTGGTGGTGAGGGTGGGAGTGGTGGTGGTGAGGGTGGGAGCGGTGGTGGTGAGGGTGGTGGTGATGGAAGTAGTGGTGGAGGTGGTGGTGGTAGGGGTGATGATGGTGGTGGGGGTGATGACGGTGGTGGTGGTGGTGAGGGTGGGAGTGGTGGTGGTCAGAGTGGTGGTGATGGAAGTAGTGGTGGAGGTGGTGGTGGTGGTGGTGTTGGGGGTGATGGTGGTGGGGGTGATGACGGTGGTGGTGGTGAGGGTGGGAGTGGTGGTGGCGGAAGTAGTGGCGGAGGTGGTGGTGGTAGGGGTGATGATGGTGGTGGTGGTGGTGGAGGTGATGACGGTGGTGGTGGTGAGGGTGGGAGTGGTGGTGGTAGGCGTGGTGGTGACATAAGTATTGGTAGAGGTCGTGATAGGGGTGATGGTGGTGGTGGTGGTGAGGGTGGGAGTGGTGGTTGTGGGAGTGGTGGTGGTGAGAGTGGTGGTGATGGAAGTAGTGGTGGAGGTGGTGGTGGTAGGGGTGATGACGGTGGTGGTGGTGAGGGTGGGAGTGGTGGTGGTAGGCGTGGTGGTGATGGAAGTAGTGGCGGAGGTGGTGGTGGTAGGGGTGATGATGGTGGTGGTGGTGGTAGGGGTGATGATGGTGGTGGTGGTGGTGGCGGTGGGAGTGGTGGTGGTAGGCGTGGTGGTGATGGAAGTAGTGGCGAAGGTGGTGGTGGTAGGGGTGATGATGGTGGTGGTGGTAGGGGTGATGATGGTGGTGGTGGGGGTGATGACGGTGGTGGTGGTGGTGGTGAGGGTGGGAGTGGTGGTGGTGAGAGTGGTGGTGATGGAAGTAGTGGTGGAGGTGGTGGTGGTAGGGGTGATGACGGTGGTGGTGGTGAGGGTGGAAGTGGTGGTTGTGGTGGTGGCGGTGAGAGTGGTGGTGACGGAGGAGGTGGTGGTAAAGATGTTGGTGGTAGGGGTGAGAATAATGGAAGGGTCGGTCAGTGGTGGTGATGATGGTGGAGGTGTTCTCGGTGATCATGACGTTGGTGGTAGCGGCACAAATGGAAATGAACGCCCGCTCCCCATTTATCGGCGCGAGAGATAATCTCCAACGACGCGACGGCAAAAGCCACTGGGCGCGTTCACCGCGCTGCCATCGTTCACCGCGCTGCCATCGTTCACCGCACTGCCATCATTCACCGCACTGCCATCGTTCACCGCACTGCCATCATTCACCACACTGCCATCGTTCACCGCACTGCCATCATTCACCACACTGCCATCATTCACCACGCTGCCATCATTCACCGCACTGCCATCGTTCACCGCACTGCCATCGTTCACCGCACTGCCATCGTGCCGGGAGCCCCGGGAGGGGCGCCACGAACAGCGGGGAACGACCCCGAAAGTCGTCTCGGCTGCGGTTCGCCCGGTGATCGTGACGCGCGTGCGCGCGCCGTCGGTGACTCACGGCGAAGGTGTACTCCACGAGGCTGCCCACGTCCTCCTCCGCATTCATCGCACTCTCGCCCTGCACGCGTCCCCCGAACGTCACCTGAGACGGTTTCACCAGCCTGGAGGAGGAGGAGGAGGACGCGCGAGCACGCACGCATGGTCAGATGACGCGTGCGGAGAGACACACGGAGAGACACACGGAGAGACACGAAGAGACGTGGAGAGACACACGGAGACACACGGAGAGACACACGGAGACACACGGAGAGACACACGGAGAGACACGCGGGTGGCACATGGAGAGACGTGTGGAGAGACGCACGGAGATACACACGGAGACACACGGAGAGACAAGGAGAGACACGGAGAGACACACGGAGAGACACGGAGAGACACACGGAGAGACGTGGAGAGACACACGGAGAGACACGGAGAGACACGGAGACACACGGAGAGACACGGAGACACACGGAGAGACACGGAGAGACACACGGAGAGACGTGGAGAGACACACGGAAAGACATGGAGAGACACGGAGAGACACACGGAGAGACGTGGAGAGACACACGGAGAGACACGGAGAGACACGGAGACACACGGAGAGACACGGAGAGACACACGGAGAGACACGGAGAGACACGGAGACACACGGAGAGACACGGAGAGACACACGGAGAGACACGGAGAGACACAAAAACACACGGAGAGACACGGAGACACACGGAGAGACACGGAGACACACGGAGAGACACGGAGAGACACACGGAGAGACACGGAGAGACACAAAAACACACGGAGAGACGTGGAGAGACACACGGAGAGACACGGAGAGACACACGGAGAGACACGGAGAGACACGGAGACACACGGAGAGACACGGAGACACACGGAGAGACACGGAGAGACACGGAGACACACGGAGAGACACACGGAGAGACACACGGAGAGACGTGGAGAGACACACGGAGAGGCACGGAGAGACGTGGAGAGACACACGGAGAGACACGGAGAGACACGGAGAGACACAAAAACACACGGAGAGACGTGGAGAGACACACGGAGAGACACGGAGACACACGGAGAGACACGGAGACACACGGAGAGACACGGAGAGACACACGGAGAGACGTGGAGAGACACACGGAAAGACATGGAGAGACACGGAGAGACACACGGAGAAACACGGAGAGACACACGGAGAGACGTGGAGAGACACACGGAGAGACACGGAGAGACACGGAGACACACGGAGAGACACGGAGAGACACGGAGAGACACACGGAGAGACACGGAGAGACACGGAGAGACACACGGAGAGACACGGAGAGACACACAGAGAGACACGGAGAGACACGGAGACACACGGAGAGACACGGAGACACACGGAGAGACACGGAGAGACACACGGAGAGACGTGGAGAGACACACGGAGAGGCACGGAGAGACGTGGAGAGACACACGGAGAGACACGGAGAGACGTGGAGAGACACACGGAGAGACACGGAGAGACACGGAGACACACGGAGAGACACGGAGAGACACGGAGAGACACACGGAGAGACACGGAGAGACACGGAGACACACGGAGAGACACGGAGAGACACACGGAGAGACACGGAGAGACACAAAAACACACGGAGAGACGTGGAGAGACACACGGAGAGACACGGAGAGACACACGGAGAGACGTGGAGAGACACACGGAGAGACACGGAGAGACACACGGAGAGACACGGAGAGACACGGAGACACACGGAGAGACACGGAGACACACGGAGAGACACGGAGAGACACACGGAGAGACGTGGAGAGACACACGGAGAGGCACGGAGAGACGTGGAGAGACACACGGAGAGACACGGAGAGACACGGAGAGACACAGAGAGACACACGGAGAGGCACGGAAAGACACGGAGAGACACACGGAGAGACACGGAAAGACACGGAGAGACACACGGAGACACGCGGAGAGACACGGAGAAACGTGGAGTGACACACGGAGACACACGGAGAGACACGGAGACACATGAGAGACACGGAGAGACACACGGAGAGACACACGGAGAGACACACGAAGACACATGGGCAGACGTGTGGAGAGACACACGGAGAGACACGGAGAGACATGGAGAGACACAGAGAGACACCCGGGTGGCACATGGAGAGACGTGTGGAGAGAGACACGGAGAGATACACGGAGAGACAGAGATACACGGAGAGATAGATGGGGAAAGACACACGGAGAGACACGGAGAGACACACGGAGAGACACGGAGACACATGAGAGACACGGAGAGACACACGGAGAGACACACGGAGAGACACACGGAGAGACACGGAGAGACACACGGAGAGACACACGGAGACACATGGAGAGATACACGGAGACACACGAAGAGACACGGAGAGACACACGGAGAGACACACGGAGACACATGGACAGACACACGGAGAGATGCGTGGGTAGCACACGGAAAGACACGTGGAGAGACACGCGAGGGCACACAGAAATGGTGATGATGATGGTGATAATGATCGTGATAATGGTGATGATGACAATAGTGATAATGATAGTGATGATGGCGATGATGGCGATAATGACGCACCCTGTGAGGGAGAGCTGGATTTCTACTCTCACGAGGAGACGCGCCACGATCGGCTGTAGGGTGTGCTGCTCACTGGCACTGTGACACAAACATCACACCGCGTCACACCGCGTACACGTAAGGAGCGTCACACCACGTACACGTAAGGAGCGTCACACCACGTACACGTAAGGAGCGTCACACCACGTACACGTAAAGAGCGTCACACCGTGTACACGCAAGGAGCGTCACACCGCGTACACGTAAAGAGCGTCACACCGCGTACACGTAAGGAGCGTCACACCACGTACACGTAAGGAGCGTCACACCACGTACACGTAAGGAGCGTCACACCACGTACACGCAAGGAGCGTCACACCACGTACACGTAAGGAGCGTCACACCACGTACACGCAAGGAGCGTCACACCACGTACACGCAAGGAGCGTCACACCACGTACACGCAAGGAGCGTCACACCACGTACACGCAAGGAGCGTCACACCACGTACACGCAAGGAGCGTCACACCACGTACACGCAAGGAGCGTCACACCACGTACACGCAAGGAGCGTCACACCACGTACACGCAAGGAGCGTCACACCACGTACACGCAAGGAGCGTCACACCACGTACACGCAAGGAGCGTCACACCGCGTACACGCAAGGAGCGTCACACCGCGTACACGTAAGGAGCGTCACACCACGTACACGCAAGGAGCGTCACACCACGTACACGCAAGGAGCGTCACACCACGTACACGCAAGGAGCGTCACACCACGTACACGCAAGGAGCGTCACACCACGTACACGCAAGGAGCGTCACACCACGTACACGCAAGGAGCGTCACACCACGTACACGCAAGGAGCGTCACACCGCGTACACGCAAGGAGCGTCACACCGCGTACACGTAAGGAGCGTCACACCACGTACACGCAAGGAGCGTCACACCACGTACACGCAAGGAGCGTCACACCGTGTACACGTAAGGAGCGTCACACCACGTACACGCAAGGAGCGTCACACCACGTACACGTAAGGAGCGTCACACCACGTACACGCAAGGAGCGTCACACCACGTACACGCAAGGAGCGTCACACCGTGTACACGTAAGGAGCATCACACCACGTACACGTAAGGAGCGTCACACCACGTACACGCAAGGAGCGTCACACCGCGTACACGTAAGGAGCGTCACACCACGTACACGTAAGGAGCGGCACACCGCGTACACGTAAGGAGCGTCACACCACGTACACGTAAAGAGCGTCACACCGCGTACACGCAAGGAGCGTCACACCGCGTACACGCAAGGAGCGTCACACCGCGTACACGCAAGGAGCGTCACACCGTGTACACGTAAGGAGCGTCACACCACGTACACGCAAGGAGCGTCACACCGTGTACACGCAAGGAGCGTCACACCGCGTACACGCAAGGAGCGTCACACCGTGTACACGTAAGGAGCGTCACACCACGTACACGCAAGGAGCGTCACACCGTGTACACGCAAGGAGCGTCACACCGCGTACACGCAAGGAGCGTCACACCGTGTACACGTAAGGAGCGTCACACCGCGTACACATAAGGAGCGTCACACCGTGCCCACCCGAGGAGCAGTGGCAAGCGTCACAATCTAAATCAATAAATTGTGATTCTCTCCGTCTCTCTCCGTGAGCCGCGACCACGGCCTTCCTTCCGTCCTTCCACAGCCCCCGCGCCGGGGGAGGTGGAATCTAACCGGCCCGGCGTGCCGGCAGCTCCACCGGGCCGGCGGTCGAGTCGCGCCGGAGACTTCGAGCGGCGGAACGTGACGACGCGGCCGCCACCGTACGGGCGACGCTGTCGGCCGGTCGGTCAGTGGGGCAGGGTCCCCCGGGGGAGGGGGTGGAGTTGGGGGGAGTGGGGGCAGGGTGGTGGGGAGAGGGAGGGGGAGGAAGGGAGGGAGGGAGTGGGGGGCAGGGGGGGGTGACTCTCACGTGCTCAGCCTCAGCTCCACGGCGAACTCCGTGGTTTCCGTGGTGATGAGCAACGTGCCGAGCAAGATGAAGAGCTTCGTCTGCGGAGCGAAGAAGATGGAGAGCGGCGTCAACGCGACGGACCGCGCACAAGCAGAGGCCGCCTGTTCTATCACGACGACGGCGACGATGAGAGTGGCAAAGATCGTCGTGGTGTTTACCTTCTGCCCCTTGTTGAATGGGTTCCCCAGCTCGCACTCCGTGGCGCTGTCGTTGAGCGGAGTGCACGACACCTGGGGGAGGGAGCAAGGAGCAGGCGACGTCGTCAGCGTCGTCGGCAATCGTCATCGGCAGTTGCATCATCATCATCATCGTCGTCGTCATCAGGATCATCAGCAAGAGACTGCAGTTGGAGACACGGTAGCAGCAGCAGCAGCAGCTTCGACAGTAGGCAGCTGATGACAATAGACAATTATTGATGATGATGATGACGGGGATAATGACGATGACAACAACGATGATGACGATGATGGCGATTATGACGATGATGGGGACGCAAATGATCGTGATGACGATGACAACGAAAGTCAACACGCCAACCGACACGAAGATGATGAAAATGATGACGATGATGATGGGGACAGAAGGGGGAGGAGGAGGGGGGGGGGTTGGGATGGGGCTTGCGCTCACCGCCCTGTCGGCGTTGCGGAAGCCGGTGTAGGTGATGGCGCTGGGGATGAGGATGGAGAGGTGGGCGTCGTGGGCGTCGTGCCCGTCCAGGTCGGGCCGCGCGGGGTTCGACGGCTCGTTGCTGATGTCCATGCCCAGCGTGACGTCCTTCTGGGAGCGCAGGGACAGCACTTGGGCTCCCGTCTCGTCGCTGGGGACGCGCACACACGCACGCGCACAAACACACACACGCGCACACGCACACACACACACGCACACACACACGCACACACACACGCACACAAACACACACACGCGCACAAACACACACGCACACACGCACACACGCACACACACACACGCACACACGCACACACACGCACACACGCACGCACACACGCACGCACACAAACACGCGCACACACGTATGAAGATCCCCCGTGCAGCCTGTAACATGCTGATGAGGCAAGTGCTGTTAGCGAGCACCTATGAAGGCCGGCACGGCACACGGGGGGTGGGTGGCCAGCACCACGCCCGGCCGCCTTTGTCTCCCGAGCGGCGATGTATACACACCGCACCAGGTACTCATTTGAGGCTGAGTCGACCTAGGCTAGGCCCAGGACCGGTTCAAATAATCGTCACTGGTGTTCTCCGTGAGCGGGAATCGAACAAAGACAAAGATCCCCTGTATAGCCTTAACGGGCTGTTGGGGCAAAAGCTCTTAGCACCTATGAAGGCCGGAACGGCACAAGCACGCACGCACAAACCGTAGGTCCAGTTAAAACCCACAGGGCACACGTGCGTACGTATGTACGTTGCCTGGGGGGGAGGGGGAGGGGGGCACTCACGTGGGCAGCAGGGTGCAGTCGCCCTCCTTCACCTCGGAGCAGAAGTACGGCCTCAGCTGCAGGTTGCTGTGGCACTTGCCGTCGCTACCGCACCCCTCCTTCAAGAAGTTCACCTGAGCGGGGGAGGGGTGGGGCAAGGTGGGGGGGGGGTAAGGGGGGGGCAAGGTGGGGAGGGTAAGGGGGGGGCAAGGTGGGGGGAGGGTAAGGGGGGCAAGGTGGGGGGGAGGGGGTAAGGGGGAGCAAGGTGGGGGGGCAAGGGGGGGAGGGTAAGGGTGGGGCAAGGTGGGGGGGGGTGAGGGGGGGCAAGGTGGGGAGGGTAAGGGGGGGGCAAGGTGGGGGGGCAAGGGGGGGAGGGTAAGGGGGGGCAAGGTGGGGGGAGGGTAAGGGGGGGCAAGGTGGGGGGGAGGGGGTAAGGGGGAGCAAGGTGGGGGGGCAAGGGGGGGAGGGTAAGGGTGGGGCAAGGTGGGGGGGGGTGAGGGGGGGCAAGGTGGGGAGGGTAAGGGGGGGGCAAGGTGGGGGGGCAAGGGGGGGAGGGTAAGGGGGGGCAAGGTGGGGGGAGGGTAAGGGGGGGCAAAGTGAGGGGGGCAAGGGGGGGGGGGGGTAAGGGGTTGACAAAGCGTTGATGTGCCAAACGCCAAACAGAAGCGGAGTGCCGGGGCAGCTGGCTATCCATGGGTCTCTATGCTGGTCTATTGATCCCTGTGAGAGTCGATTGATCTACGTGAGTCTGTGGGTCTCTGTGTTAGTCTACTGGTCCCGAGGTCGAATCAGCCTCAAATGAGTACCTGGTGCGGTGTGTAGACATCGCCACTGGGGAAACAAATGTGGCCGGGTCGTGTGAGTGAGCGAGCGGGCGAGTGGGCGGGCGAGCAAGTGGGTGAGCGGGAGGGCAAGCGAGCGGGTGAGTGGGTAGGTGAGCGAGCGGGTGAGTTGGCGGGCGGACAAGCGAGCGGGTGGGCGAACGAGCGGGTGAGTGGGTGATCGAGTGGGCGAGTGGGTGGGCGAGTGAGTGGGCGAGCGGATGGGTGAGCGAGCGGGTGGGTGAGCAAGCGAACGGGTGAGCAGGTTAGCGGGTGAGTGAGTGGGAGGGCGACCGAGTGGGCGAGCGGGTGGGTGGGCGAGTGAGCAGGTGGGCGAGCGGGTGAACGAGCAGATGGGCGAGCGAGCGGGTGGGCGAGCAAGCGAATGGGTAAGCAGGTGAGCGGGTGAGTGAGTGGGAGGGCGAGCGAGTGGGCGAGCGGGTGGGTGGGCGAGTGAGCAGGTGGGCGAGCGGGTGCACGAGCGGGTGGGCGAGCAAGCGAACGGGTGAGCAGGTTAGCGGGTGAGTGAGTGGGAGGGCGATCGAGTGGGCGAGCGGGTGGGTGGCGAGTGAGCAGGTGGGCGAGCGGGTGAACGAACGGGTGGGCGAGCGAGCGGGCGGGCGAACGAGCGGGCGAGCGGACCTCAAGCTTCTCGCGCGTGAGCTGCGTGGGGTCGAGCACGGGGCGGCTGTCCAGCGTGGCGACGTCCCCCGGCTCCTGGCGGTTGCCCCGCCGGGCGGCGCGAGTCTCCTGGATGCCGTACTGGGCCACGACGATGATGGGGCGCAGCTTGTCCCGGATGTTGTCCTGCGAGCGTCACGACACGCCCGTCAGCGCGCGTCACCGCCACGTGTCCGTGCGTGCGTCCGTGCGTGCATCCGTGCATCCCTCCGTGTGTCGCAGTGGTTATAGCGCGCTGGGCTACGAACCCGCCAGGCCGAGTTCGATACCCGCTCAAGGCCAACAGCCTCAAATGAGTACCTGGTGTGGTTTATAATCATCGCTACTAGGAAGACAGAGGCGTGGTGCTGCCCACCCACCCCCCCCATTGTGCCGTGCCGGCCTTCATAGGTGTTTGCTAACAGCACTTGCCCCAACAGTCTGTTAAGGCTATATGGGGGATCTTTGTTATCTTTGTCCCCCCCCCCCCCCCACCCCCGTCCATTCGTTCGTCTGCATATCCCCCCCTCAATGCATCTGCGTGTCCCGCTCGTCCCCGTGCGTGCGCGCCCTGCCCTCGCTCACGTTGATCTGCAGCACGACGTCGCCGCTGCACTTGGGCGAGCTCTGCCCGTTGAGGACCACCGTGCCGCGCTGCACCTCGGCCTCGCGCGCTCCCCGCACGAAGGAGACGCGCGGAGCCATGCCCAGCCGGCGCCGCTCCACCTCCGCCTCCACCGTGAAGTTCAGCACTGACGGGGGGGGGGCGGGGGAGGTTTAAACGACACAGCCACACCGCTTGAATTGGTCGCTTGCCCATTCATTCGCTCGCTCGCCCATTCATTGGCTCTCTGGCCCATTCATTCGCTCGCACACTGCGTGATCGCCCATTCGCTCACTCACCCATTCGCTCGCTCGCCCATTCATTCGCTCGCTCGCCCATTCATTCGCTCGCTGGCGCATTCATTAATTCGCTCGCTCGCCCATTCATTCCTTCGCTCGCACACCGCGTGATCGCTCATTCACTCGCTCGCCCATTCACTCACTCGCCCATTCATTCGCTCACTCACCCATTCACTCGCTTGCCCATTCATTGGCTTGCTCACCCATTCATTCGCTCACTCACCCATTCACTCGCTCGCCCATTCATTCGCTCGCTGGCGCATTCATTCACTCGCCCACCCATTCATTTGCTCGCTCGCCCATTCATTCATTGGCTCGCACACCGCGTGATCGCCCATTCGCTCGCTCGCCCAAGGGGGTCCTTGACGACCCTCTTCAAAACAGATTCCCGAGCCTCATTGAAGCTCTACTGGGTAAACGAAGGAGAGTGCCGCATTCTCCGGATTACGAGAGGCACCCACAAACGCTTGCTTTTAAAAGCACCTCACAATCTGGGGATTTTGGGTACAGAGCGCCGTTCGCGGCGTAAGTTCCCGGGAGCATGACGACGAATTCAAGCGTCAAATCTCACCGAGACGTGGGCTGTAGGATGCAGGCTTGGCCACGTACGTGAAGCAGAGGCTCACTTTGATGCTGCAAGACAACAACGATATTTAGACAACAACTAAAAATATTTTTAGATTTGAAGCTTTCGTGACTGCAAGGATTCATATTCTTAGGTTTTTTCGGTAAAGTCAAATCTAGAATTAATACCCTCTACGGGGAGGAATTCCACCTATCTGTTAGAGTTTTTAACAGACAACGAGACAAGCCACCTGAAGATGGAAGCTTGTGTTGCCTCCGAAACGTCGTGATAATTTTTTTTTTACCTACGTGACTTTACCGAAAAAACCTAAGAAAACAAAAGATATGTTTGAGATATATATTAAACAAAAACGGACAATACAATTGTAGTCGATGCTTGCACGTGATGGCAGCAGCTGTACGTTCAGGAGTTCGATGCTCCAAAGTCTGCTGCTGCTGCCCATCACAAGAGGGCTTATTATCCGGTCCGCAGTTTGGGTTGCACGGCCACTAGTCTTCACCGCGTCTCTATTGACCTCTTATCGCTCTCTCTAGCTGCTTCTTGCGTCTGGCAGTCTGGCTCGGGAGCGAGACGGCCCAAATGTACGAGTCTGCTGCTGATGCTGCTGCTGCTGACCACGAACAGAGAGAGGACTTCACCACAGAGAGAGATCGTGTTGCTGTTCCTCCTCCTCCGTTGAAGGAGTGACAGACCACGGTGGGGTTACTGTGCGGTCCACAGTTTGGGTTGATTGGCCACAGTCGCACTCCTGGCTTGTCTATAATACTCTCTGTGGGTCTCTGTGGGTCTCCACGAGTTTCTGTCTATCTACCAGTCACTTTGCATGCACCTCTGTCTTCTACGCAGGGCAATGTGGTTGACGAGCTAGATGCCAATGTCGAGGCCTGCTGCTACTGTGAGGTCCGCTCACCACGGCGACGGAGAGACACTCACCATGTGTAGGAACCGCAGTTCTTCTCGCTGGCGTCCAGCAGCTCGGGAGACACGGTGATGTTGTGAGTCACTCGCACGATGGGACGGCTCCTGGTGAAGACAAAGGTCCCCCGTGTAGCCTTTCATGGACCGTTGGGGCAAGTGCGGTCAGCGAGTAGCAGCAGCAGCAGCAGCAGGGCCTACGAAGGCCGGCACGGCGCACGAGGGGGTGGTGTGGCGTGGCGAACTCCGGCGCCTGATCTGATGCCATATACGTCTCCTCTGGTGGTCATGTTTGCCCATCACACTATAAGAACCAGTGGTTATTACCGGAGATTATAATAATCATCCGGTGTAGGTTTTCGCAGGTGTGCTGCGTAGCTCTCCGATGAGATGTTGACGACCTCGCCCGGCATTACGGGAGGCTGTTCCATACCGACCATGACGCCTGCTGTATATTTGAAGTTTACTCTCTCCCCGTGGTTGCATGTATTTTTCTCCAGGTTCTCTGGTTTCCTCCCCCTCCACCCCACATTTAGAATGAACGTCACGCGTTCAGAGTATTTGCCTGCTGCTCTAAGTGTCCACGTGATGAGGATGAGCCACTTCGTTGAGCTGTGATTCGAGATAAGCAGGCTATGAAGCAGCTCATTGGGGCCTTACGTGGTGAAATAAAATTAGTTGATAGTTGTTTCTGTATAAATTTCGATTTAAAGCTTTCGTGACTGCAGGGATTCATCTTCTTGCTTCTTTCGGTAAAGTCACGTAGAAGGGAAATAATAAAATAATAAAAATAAAACATAATAAAATACAATTCTCACGACGTTTCGGCCACAAAGCAAGCAGCCGTCCTCAGGTGAAGAACAGGTCTGTCGGAAAGACAGCGTCTGAATGGGCACCATCATGCTTGGCAGCGTATATTTAAGCTGGGTTGGAGGGGGAAGAGCGCCTTGATATGTAAACTCCTTTGTCAAGGCGCTCTTCCCCCTCCAACCCAGCTTAAATATACGCTGCCAAGCCTGGTGGTGTTCATTCAGATGCTGTCTTTCCGACAGCCCTGTTCTTCACCTGAGGACGGCTGCTTGCGTTGTGGCCGAAACGTCGTGAGAATTATTTTTATTATTTTATTATTTCCCTTCTACGTGACTTTACAGAAAAAACCAAAGAGTATGTTTCTGTATAGTTTGAAAGAAAGAGCTCCTCCGGCTGCGTGTTATATAAACCCGTGTCTTCGGTCAGAGGGGTATAGATGTCGTGGTTTGGGATCGTCTACTGGCGATGGGGTCATGTTATGGCTGGTGATGTTGATGGTGATGATGTTAGTGGTGATAGTGATGGTGGTGGTGATGATAGTGATGTTGGTGGTGATAGTGATGATGTTGGTGGTGGTGGTGATGATGTTGGTGGTGGTCGCGATGATGATATTGATGTTAGTGGTGATTGTGATGGTGGTGGTGATGATAGTGATGTTGGTGGTGATAGTGATGATGTTGGTGGTGGTGGTGGTAATAGTATTGTTGGTGGTGATAGTGATGATATTGGTGGTGATGATGTTGGTGGTGGTGGTGATGATATTGATGTTTGTGGTGATAGTGATGGTGGTGGTGATGATAGTGATTTTGGTGGTGATAGTGATGATGTTGGTGGTGGTGGTGGTGATGATAGTGATGTTGGTGGTGATAGTGATGATGTTGATGATGTTGGTGGTGATGGTGGTGATGATGTTGGTGGTGGTGATGCTGATGATGTTGGTGGTGGTGGTGATGATAGTGATGTTGGTGGTGATAGTGATGATGTTGATGATGTTGGTAGTGGTGGTGATGATAGTGATGTTGGTGGTGATAGTGATGATGTTGATGATGTTGGTGGTGGTGGTGATGATAGTGATGTTGGTGGTGATAGTGATGATGTTGATGATTTTGGTGGTGGTGGTGACGATAGTGATGATGTTGGTGATGTTGACGACGTTGCCGATGTCGGTAACGGGTGTTCGTCGTGGCGATGACGATGCTGGGAGGGGCGGGCGGGTTACGCCATCCTCTCCCCGTGGCGACGGAACGTCCTCGTGGCAGCCTCCCCGGCAAGCAGCTCACCGCAGCACGGCGATCTTGTCGGACATGGAGCCGACGAGGAGGTCCGGGTAGGTGTTGTCGTCGACGTCCATGTCGCCGGACAGCGAGAAGCCGAACTGGGTGATCGGCGGCTTCAGCTCTTCGCCCGAGATCACCTGTTACCCCCCCCCCCCCCACACACACGCACAATGTAAATGTATGTTTATAAATGAAGGCGCAAGACCTGAAATTTATTTGCTCGTGTCACTGCTGGCCAGAGGGAAATAAAAGCTCCTCCACACAGCTACACTCAGCCTACCCGTGTCCCCTCAGCTACAGCTCCTCCACACAGCTACACTCAGCCTCCCCGTGTCCCCTCAGCTACAGCTCCTCCACACAGCTACACTCAGCCTCCCCGTGTCCCTTCAGCTACAGCTCCTCCACACAGCTACACTCAGCCTCCCCGTGTCCCCTCAGCTACAGCTCCTCCACACAGCTACATTCAGACTCCCCGTGTCCCTTCAGCTACAGCTCCTCCACACAGCTACACTCAGCCTACCCGTGTCCCCTCAGCTACAGCTCCTCCACACAGCTACATTCAGACTCCCCGTGTCCCTTCAGCTACAGCTCCTCCACACAGCTACACTCAGCCCCCCCGTGTCCCCTCAGCTACAGCTCCTCCACACAGCTACACTCAGCCTCCCCGTGTCCCCTCAGCTACAGCTCCTCCACACAGCTACACTCAGCCTCCCCGTGTCCCCTCAGCTACAGCTCCTCCACACAGCTACACTCAGCCCCCCCGTGTCCCCTCAGCTACAGCTCCTCCACACAGCTACACTCAGCCTCCCCGTGTCCCCTCAGCTACAGCTCCTCCACACAGCTACACTCAGCCTCCCCGTGTCCCCTCAGCTACAGCTCCTCCACACAGCTACACTCAGCCCCCCCGTGTCCCCTCAGCTACAGCTCCTCCACACAGCTACACTCAGCCTCCCCGTGTCCCCTCAGCTACAGCTCCTCCACACAGCTACACTCAGCCCCCCCGTGTCCCCTCAGCTACAGCTCCTCCACACAGCTACACTCAGCCTCCCCGTGTCCCCTCAGCTACAGCTCCTCCACACAGCTACACTCAGCCTCCCCGTGTCCCCTCAGCTACAGCTCCTCCACACAGCTACACTCAGCCCCCCCGTGTCCCCTCAGCTACAGCTCCTCCACACAGCTACACTCAGCCTCCCCGTGTCCCCTCAGCTACAGCCCCTCCACACAGCTACACTGAGCCTCCCCGTGTCTCCTCAGCTACAGCCCCTCCACACAGCTACACTCAGCCTCCCCGTGTCCCCTCAGCTACAGCTCCTCCACACAGCTACACTCAGCCTCCCCGTGTCCCCTCAGCTACAGCTCCTCCACACAGCTACACTCAGCCTCCCCGTGTCCCCTCAGCTACAGCTCCTCCACACAGCTACACTCAGCCTCCCCGTGTCCCTTCAGCTACAGCTCCTCCACATAGCTACACTCAGCCTCCCCGTGTCCCATCAGCTACAGCTCCTCCACACAGCTACACTCAGCCCCCCCCCCGTGTCAGCTACAGCTCCTCCACACAGCTACACTCAGCCTCCCCGTGTCCCTTCAGCTACAGCTCCTCCACACAGCTACACTCAGCCTCCCCGTGTCCCTTCAGCTACAGCTCCTCCACACAGCTACACTCAGCCTCCCCATGTCCCATCAGCTACAGCTCCTCCACACAGCTACACTCAGCCTCCCCGTGTCCCCTCAGCTACAGCTCCTCCACACAGCTACACTCAGCCTCCCCGTGTCCCCTCAGCTACAGCTCCTCCACTCAGCTACACGCAGCCTCCCCGTGTACCCTGGGCTACAGCTCCTCCACACAGCTACACACAGTCTCCCCGTGTCTCCTCAGCTACAGCTCCTCCACACAGCTACACTCAGCCTCACCGTGTCTCCCGTCCATCTTCTACATAACATCTGCCGCATCGTCAAAGCACCACCCCCCCCCCCAACAGTGTAGGCCCTCCACCCCGCCCCCCACCGCCCCCCCACCCCCTTTCACCAAACCCCACACTGAGCAGCGTGGTGAAGCCCGGTCAACGGAGCCTGGAAAAAACTTGGGTTTCCACAATCGAGATTTTTGTATAAGATCACGTAAACATAAATGTGTCGTCGTTAAACCCACCACCACCCGACGCAGCCAATTAGTAAAGTTTCGTCACGTAAACAGAACGTGACGAATTCGTCACTAGTACAGCACTAACCGGTTGCGTTGGAGAGTAAACCCACGACATTTACGGTGTGGCGGCCTGTTTAACGACACGTTTATATTATAGACGCGATCAAACCCAAAAAAAACCTCGATCACGGATGATATCGGTCGCAAAAGCCCGACCACGTGTTCATCTTTCGGTTCCGTCGGCTGACCTGAGCGGGCTGGGTGGCGATGCCGCCCTTGCCGCCGTGGTAGATGTAGACTTTGCCGCTGCCGGCAAACGGAGCCCCGATGGCGATGTCTGCGAACGAAGGATGCGAGAGAAGTCGTCACTCACCGCGGGCGAGGCACATCTTCGACGGTGACGACGACGACGGAGATTCCAGAAACAAAAGAGAGCGCGAAAGTCGCCCACGGGCAGAGCGCGCCGTGGGCCGGCGCCATCGGTGCCCAACGGCGTCCCGTGATGCCCGGGGCACCGGTGATGCCCATGATACCGGTGGCATCCGTAATGTCTGTGATGCCACGATGCCCATGATGTCCATGGTACCAGTGATGCCCATGGTGCCCATGGTACCAGTGATACTCATGATGCCCATGACACCCATGGTATCAGTGATGCCCATGATACCCATGGTGCCCATGGTACCAGTGATACTCATGATGCCCATGACACCCATGGTATCAGTGATGCCCATGATACCCATGGTGCCCCGTGATGCCCGCGATGCCCCTTGAAGCCCATCGTGCCGGCGCCGCCGCGTACCCTGGAACCCGTCCTGGTTGAGGTCGCCGGCTCGTGCCACGGCGGTGCCGAAGGCGGAGTACGGGGGCCCCGTGAGCACCGTCGGCTTGTCCAGCACCACGTGGCCCTGCCGGTTGCGGTAAACGTAGACGGCGCCGCCCGCCTCGTCACGCCGGCTGAAGTAGTTGGGCGCGCTCACCAGCACCTCCATCCAGCTACAAAGACAAAGGTTCCCCCCCACCGTGTAGTCTCAACAGACCGTTGGGGCAAGTGGTGTTATAGCGAGTAGCAGCACCGGTGAAGGTCGGCACGGCACACGAGGGGGTGAGTGGCTAGCACCAATGCCCGGGGCTGTCTTTGTCTCCCTAGTGGCGCTGACGTTTACACAACATGCCATGTAATCATTTGAGGCTGCGTTGACCTAGGGGAGACCCAGGACCGCTGGTGTTGACCAGGGCCACTGGGTTTGTAACACAGCGGGGGGGGGGGGTGGGGGGGCAAAGTCGCTGTGTCGCCGCCGCTCCCCACTGTGTATACATGGACAAGCATTGCACACACACACGCACACACACGCACACGCACGCACACACACGCTCGCACATAAAGACAAAGATAAAGATCCCCCTTATAGCCTTAAGAGACTGTAGGGGCAAGTGCTGTTAGCGAGCACCTATGAAGGTCGCCAGGGCACACGAGGGGGTGGGTGGCCAACACCACGCCCGGCCACCTTTGTCTCCCTAGTGGCGATGTTTACACACTGCACCGGGTACTCATTTAAGGCTGAGTCGACCTAGGGGAGGCCCAGGACCGGCTCAGATAATCGTCACCGGTGTTGGCCGTAAGCGGGAATCGAACCCGGCTTGCCAGGTTCATAGCACAGCGTAGCGCTAACCGCTGCACCGCCACTCCCCACTCACTCCTCGTCGTCGTCTTGTCAGATGAACGGCGTCTCTTCGCCCTTCCTGGACACCGCTCACATCTCAACTCAAACTGAAAACCCCACCACCCCTTGTACACCGGTCCTTCCCAAACTATTCGCCCAGGATCGTCGTCTCGTTCCTACCGCAGGACGGAGGCTACGTCTGTATCTATGACTACGGCTGTGTCCATGACTACGGCTGTTTCCATGACTACGGCTGTGACTACGGCTGTCTCCATGACTACGGCTGTGTCTATGACTACGGTTGTGTCCATGACTACAGCTGTGTCTATGACTACGGCTGTTTCCATGACTACGGCTATGTCCATGACTACGGCTGTTTCCATGACTACGGCTGTGTCTATGACTACGGCTGTTTCCATGACTACGGCTGTGACTACGACGACGGCTGTAACTACGACTACGACTGTGTCTACGACGACTACGTCCGCGGCTCACCGGTCGCCGTTGAGGTCGGCGAGCGCCACGTCGTAGCCGAAGCTGGAGCCGAGCTGGTGTCCCGTGATGAGCAGCTCGGGGATGAGCACCGCCTGCCCGCTGGGCTTGAGCAGCAGCGCGGCGCCCGTGTGGTTGGCGCGCGGGGCGCCCGCCAGGAAGGACACGCTCACGCGGCTCGTCACGCCGCGGCTCCCGTCCAGCGAGTAACCTGGTGGACGAGGAGGTCAGGGGGAGGGCGGCCGGGGGGGGGGGGGGGGAATGTAACCATTGTAACATTTATTTTTTTAAACAATTTTTACTTTTATCTTTTTTTTTACCAGGTAAGGCCCACATGGGCTTGTGTAGCTCTTATTCAGAAGCCAACGTGGCCGGCACAAATGGGCCGTTTGTTGATTATGTTGGTGCTATGAATGTCCAAATGATGGGCTTATTTGTTGATTATGTTGGTGCTATGAATGTCCAAATGATGGGCTGATTTGTTGATTATGTTGGTGCTTTGAATGTCCAAATGATGGGTTGATTTGTTGATTATGTTGGTGCTATGAATGTCCAAATGATGGGCTGATTTGTTGATTATGTTGGTGCTTTGAATGTCCAAATGATGGGCTGATTTGTTGATTATGTTGGTGCTATGAATGTCCAAATGATGGGCTGATTTGTTGATTATGTTGGTGCTTTGAATGTCCAAATGATGGGTTGATTTGTTGATTATGTTGGTGCTATGAATGTCCAAATGATGGGCTGATTTGTTGATTATGTTGGTGCTTTGAATGTCCAAATGATGGGCTGATTTGTTGATTATGTTGGTGCTATGAATGTCCAAATGATGGGCTGATTTGTTGATTATGTTGGTGCTATGAATGTCCAAATGATGGGTTGATTTGTTGATTATGTTGGTGCTATGAATGTCCAAATGATGGGCTGATTTGTTGATTATATTGGTGCTATGAATGTCCAAATGATGGGCTGATTTGTTGATTATATTGGTGCTATGAATGTCCAAATGATGGGCTGATTTGTTGATTATGTTGGTGCTATGAATGTCCAAATGATGGGCTGATTTGTTGATTATGTTGGTGCTATGAATGTCCAAATGATGGGCTGATTTGTTGATTATGTTGGTGCTATGAATGTCCAAATGATGGGCTGATTTGTTGATTATGTTGGTGCTATGAATGTCCAAATGATGGGTTGATTTGTTGATTATGTTGGTGCTATGAATGTCCAAATGATGGGCTGATTTGTTGATTATGTTGGTGCTATGAATGTCCAAATGATGGGCTGATTTGTTGATTATATTGGTGCTATGAATGTCCAAATGATGGGCTGATTTGTTGATTATGTTGGTGCTTTGAATGTCCAAATGATGGGTTGATTTGTTGATTATGTTGGTGCTATGAATGTCCAAATGATGGGCTGATTTGTTGATTATGTTGGTGCTATGAATGTCCAAATGATGGGCTGATTTGTTGATTATGTTGGTGCTATGAATGTCCAAATGATGGGCTGATTTGTTGATTATATTGGTGCTATGAATGTCCAAATGATGGGCTGATTTGTTGATTATATTGGTGCTATGAATGTCCAAATGATGGGTTGATTTGTTGATTATGTTGGTGCTATGAATGTCCAAATGATGGGCTGATTTGTTGATTATATTGGTGCTTTGAATGTCCAAATGATGGGTTGATTTGTTGATTATTTTGGCGCTGTGAATGTCCAGATGATGGGCCGCTTTGTCAAGCTGTCATTTGTCGTGGGAAGGTCGCTTCTGAACAAGAAGTTAATATCTCAGTTGGGCTTTGCCTGGCAAGGTGGGGATGGTTTCGTGTTGTATTTGGGTGATTTTTTTACCTTTATTGTACTTTGCACGACTATCGTGTGTTTGTACTGCTCGTTGTTGTAACGCTCTTACCCCGTGCCCCGACTGGACATCTGTGACAAGAAGAGCTTCATAGCTCATCGGATTCCTCCTCCAGCTATAAAGACATTCATTCTGATTACACGTCCAAGGACTCTAGCTTCTTATTATAATTTCACGGCGAACTTTTTTTTTTCACGTTCGTTGCAATATTTTCGATTTCTCACGCACGACGCGGTTTGTTGTGTTTGCTTGTCGTTGCTGTTGTTGTTGCCCCTGAATGCTTCGTCGATATTAACAGTTAATAATTTGCCTTTTCTCTCATCACGTTTGTTGGCCCAGGGCCGGGTGGTTCTTTGCAAAGCGAGGCCTCACCCCGGGCGCGCTCTCTCTCTCTCGGGGTTCTCGCGCCATTCAAATCAAGAAAATAAAACTCAACAAGAGCAACCGGTTGCATGTGCTACCCGAGTTGCACAAACCGATTGCACAAAGGGGGAGGAGGGGGGGGGGCTTTGGCGGAGGCGTCGTTCCGACTTGCCGAGAGATGTCATTTACGCATGGGCAGTGAGCACGGCGTACGAAGAAATTATTATTTAAATTATTAAACGATTAAACTAAACCGTTTCTGACCGAAGACGCGTGTTTATATATCAAACTATACAAACAATATATAAACTTAATTTGGAGCTTACGTGACTGCAAGAATTATTCTTTGGTTCTTTCGGTAAAGTCACGTATAAAGATAAAATAATAAATTCAATTAAATACTAGCGTACGACGTTTCGATTGCAACACAAGCAATCATCATCAGGTGTGCCTATGTTTGTTCTCTCTCTATGTATCTCTGTGATATCTGTCTGCTTATATGTCTGTCTATATGTCTCTGGTTCTGTGTTTTATCTCTCTCTCAAATTTAGCATTCTCAGGAAGAACGTAATCAACCAGGTAGGCTGTTGACTGTTATGTTATCCGACTCTCTGTTGTATTACATTACATTTCTAAGTATACTCGATTTGTGTTTCTATTTAATTTATACCTGATGATGATTGCTTGTGTTGCAATCGAAACGTCGTACGCTAGTATTTAATTAAATTTATTATTTTATCTTTATACATGACTTTACCGAAAGAACCAAAGAAAACTATATATTTTTTTATTTTACCAGGTAAGGCCCTACAGAGCTATGAAGCTCTTTGTTTCAGAAGCGACCTGGACATCACAAATGACAGCTCCATGAAGTGGTTCATCATCATCATGAAATGTACAGCAGCCAAATGCTCTGAACGCGTGACGTTGATTCTCAATGCGGAGGAAGAAACCCGGAGGAACCGGAGAAACATCCACGTGGCAACGGGGAGAGAGGGAGACACGCAAACTCCAAATATACAGCAGCAGTCGTCAGGGTCGGGATTGAACCCACGACCTCCTGCATACCAGGCGAGGGAGTTAACATCTCCTGGCCACCGCGCGGCACCAGACTAACAACAGGATGACAAAGGACAGAACGCGCCCAACAGGACGTGCCCCATGGAGACGGAGCGATGAGTTCCCCTCGAGCGCGACACCGTGATGGATCGCCGCATCGCAGGTCCATGAGGACTCGTGGCGGCGTGCGGGAGGCCTTCATCCATTGATTGTGACATTTCAGCACGGTTGGTTACGTGGGGTGCGAAAGAAGTTCAACATACGTACACATACATGGCCGTGGATGACGATGATAACGGTGGTGGTGTGTAATTACGTGTGTGTGTGGGGAGCGGGAATGCAGCGGTTAGCGCGCTGCGCTAGGAACCCGGCGGCCCGAGTTCGAATCCCGCTCACGACCGACACCGGTGACGATTATCCGAAGCAGTCCTGGACCTCCCCTATGTCGACTCAGCATCAAATGAGTACCTGGTGTGGTGTGTAAACATCGCCACTGGGGGAACAAAGGCGGCCGGGCGTGGTGCTGGCCACCCACCCTGTCATGTTTTGCGCCGGTCTTCATAGGTGCTACTCGCTAACAGCACTTGCCCCAACAGGCTGTTAAGACTAACAGGGGGATCTTTGTCTTTGTGTAGAGGTGGGAGGGGGGGTGGTCGTGTAGTGGTCAGAGCACTGCGCTGTGGCCGACATCAATGGCAAATATCTGAACCGGTCCTGGGCCTCCCCTAGGTAAACTCAGCCTCAAATGAGCCCCTTGTGAGGTGTGTAAAATATCAGCACTGGGGAGACAAAGGTGGCCTGGCAGGGTGTTGGTCACCCCCAACTTCGTGTGCCGTGCCGGCCTTCATAGGTGCTACTCGCTAACAGCCCTTGCCCACCACCCCCCCCCGCCCCATAGTATGTTCAGCCTATACGGGGGGGGGGGTATCTTTGTCTTTGTGTGTGCATGTTGTACCCATGTAGCTGTGGAAAGGCAGAGGGATAAGTTCTTGATTCATTTTCTTTTCATCGCCAGTCTCCTGCGGGTCCAGGTAAATCGCATCCTTTGCCAGGGTCTTGTTCCACTGTTCCACTCTAACAATTCCTGCACCCACCACCACCACCACCATTATCATCATTATTAGCATCATCATTACCACCATTATAACCATCATCATCACCACCACCATCATAACCATCATAATTATCACCATCACTGTTACCATTGTCATCAACACAACCATCATCATCACCATCATTGTCATCACCACCATCATCATCATCATTGTCATCACCACCACCATCATCACCATCATTGTCATCACCACCACCACCACCATCATTACCATCATCACTACCATCATCATCACCACCACCATTATAACCATCACAATTACCACCATCACTGTTATCATTGTTATCACCACCACCACCACCATCATCACAATCATTGTTATCATCATTACCACCACCACCACCATCATCCCAACCACCCCGAGCATCATCATCATTACCACCATCATCACCATCATCATCACCATCATCATCACCACCACCATCATAACCATCATAATTACCACTATCACTGTTATCATCGTTATCACCACCACCATCATCATCATCAGTGTTCATCATGAATATCACCACCAGTACCATTTTAATGACCACCACCATCATCACCATCATTGTTATCATCACCACCACCACCATCATCCCAACCACCACCACCACCGCCCACCTTTCCAGTTGTAAGTGCCGGGCGCGCCGTAGTAGATGTAGTCGCTGTCCGGCACGAACCCGGCCGCCGTGCCCTGCTGGCACATGCCGAAGCCGTCGGGACGGATGTCGCGGTTCTTGCAAAAGGTGGACTCGAAAAAATCGTCGACCGGCACCAGCAGGTCGGTGAGTATGAAACAGCGGCCCACCAAGTGACGCTGCTCCTGCTCCGGCTGTCCCACGTAGACCCGGTTCTCGTAGCGGTGGGCGCACGTCTTGGGGTGATGAGCGTCGTGGGTGCCCGAGGGGGGGGGGGAGAAAGTGGGGGGGGGGGGGGGATAGCGAGGAGAAGGGAGCAGGGCAGGTGCAGGTGCAGGGGAGGGGAGGGGGAGGATGAGGAGTGGAGGGGTGCGCGTCGCGTTCGCGCGCTGGTGCGCTGCGTATCGGTGTGGTGCGTGCAGCGTGTTAGTGTGCTGTGTGTTAGTGTGCTGCGTGTTAATGTGCCAAGTCTTGCTTGTTAGTGTGCTGTGCCCTGCATGCTGCATGTTAGCGTGCTGTGTGTTAGCATGCTGCATGTTAGCGTGCTGTGTGTTAGCATGCTGTGTGTTAGCGTGCTGTGTGGTAGCGTGCTGCGTGTTAGCGTGCTGCGTGTTAGCGTGCTGCGTGGTAGCGTGCTGTGTGTTAGCGTGCTGCGTGTTAGCGTGCTGCGTGGTAGCGTGCTGCGTGGTAGCGTGCTGCGTGGTAGCGTGCTGCGTGTTAGCGTGCTGCGTGTTAGCGTGCTGCGTGGTAGCGTGCTGCGTGTTAGCGTGCTGTGTGTTAGCGTGCTGTGTGTTAGCGTGCTGTGTGTTAGCGTGCTGTGTGTTAGCGTGCTGTGTGGTAGCGTGCTGCGTGTTAGCGTGCTGCGTGTTAGCGTGTTAGCGTGCTGCGTGTCAGCGTTCTGCGCATTGGCAGTGTCACTACGCGGCACTCACGATGACCAATCCGCCGGCTCGTTGGCTCGCCACAGAGACGCCCATCCACTCGTCCTCCTTGCTCTCCCTCTCCAAGGACTCTGCCCCCCGGAAGCACACACACACACACGGGAACACACACACACACACACAAGTCAAAGGTGCCCCGTGTAGCCTTAACATACTCTCGGGGCAAGTGCTGTTCAAGCGAGCAGCGCCTATGAAGCGCGGCACGGCACACGCGGGGGTGGGTGGCCAGCACCACGCCCGGCCACCTTTGTCTCCCCAGTGACGATGTTGACACAGCACCGAACCCGGTACTCATTTGAGGCTGAGTCGACCTAGGGGAGGAGGCCCAGGACCGATTCAGATTATCGTCACTGGGTGTTGGCCATGAGCGGGAATCGAACTCGGGCCGCCGGGTTCGTAGCGCACGGCTACAAAGACAAAGATCCCCCGTATAGCCTTACCAAAATGTATGGCCAAGTGCTATTAGCGAGCACCAATTAATGCCGGCACGGCACACGCGGGGGTGGGTAGCCAGCACCGAGCCCGGCCACCTTTGTATCCCCAGTGCTGATGTTTTATACAAAGCACTGGACACTCGTTAGTAAGGCTGAGTCGACCTAGGGGAGGCCCAGGACCGGTTCGGATAGTCGTCAACGGTGTTGGTCATGAACGGGAATCGAACTCGGGTTGTGGGGTTCGTAGTGCGGTGTGCTAACCACTGCACCAGCACTCCACCCCACACACAAACACACCCCTCGTGTTCCTCGTGTGCTCACATCCCTCACATTTCGATTTAAAGCTTTCGTGACTGCAGGGATTCATCTTCTTGGTTCTTTCGGTAAAGTCACGTAGAAGGGAAGTAATGAAATAATAAATAATTATAATAAAAAAATAAAAAAGAAAAGAAAAAGAAAACATAATAAAATAATATTATATTATTATATTATTTTATTATGTTTTATTTTTATTATTTTATTACTTCCCTTCTATGTGACTTTACCGAAAGAACCAAGAAGATGAATCCCTCACATTCCCCTCACATCCCTCACGCCCCCCTCACATCCCCCCCCCACCCTCGCACCACTGTTGTCGAAGTTGACTCGCTCGCAGTCGGAGGGGTCGGCAGTGAAGGGGCAGGAGAAGAGCGCGCCGGTGTTGTGCGACGTCTGCTTCGCGTCCGCCTTGCTCCTCGGGGCGCCCGCCAGGAACCTGCGTCGCACGCACGGCACGGCCGCTTCGTCACGCACTCGCTCGCTCCATCGTTCACTCGCTCGCTCACTCGCTCGCTGCGTCGTTCACTCGCTCGCTCACTCGCTACATCGCTCACTCGCTCGCTACGTCGCTCGCTTAATCGCTCCATCGCTGGCTCGCTCCATCGTTCACTCGCTACATCGCTCGCTTAATCGCTCCATCGCTGGCTCGCTCCATCGTTCACTCGCTACGTCGCTCGCTTAATCGCTCCATCGCTCGCCCGATCCATCGTTCACTCGCTACGTCGCTCGCTTAATCGCTCCATCGCTCGCCCGATCCATCGTTCACTCGCTACGTCGCTCGCTTAATCGCTCCATCGCTCGCCCGATCCATCGTTCACTCGCTCGCTCACTCGCTTGCTCCATCACTACATTGCTCGCTCGATCCATCGCTCACTCAACCCATCGTTCACTCGCTCGCTCACTCGCTACGTCGCTTGCTCCATCACTACATCGCTCAATCGCTCCATCGTTCGCTCCATGGCTCAATCGCTCCGTCCCCGTCGTTCAGTCAACCGGCAAGGCTTCCGTTCGTTCAATTCGTTGAACAAGCAGAGCAGCAGCGGATCGACCAAAGATAGACCACACAGGGAAGCAGTGGGTAGACCAAAAAGCGAAGCAGCGTCCATCGCAGCCACGTGGGGTTTGGGTTTAACAGCGCACAAGGTCCGCGTCGCACATGAGAATGCACGTGGCGACGTGGTCGCTACCCCTGCAGCTGTTCCACGCGGACGATTAGCGACGTGACGGGTGCTCTGTGGCACCACGGTGGTGTCGTGTCGCTCGCCCGAGCCACCGTCCGTCGGGTGACCAAACAAATTGTCACATGTGTCGGATTTCCCGAGAAGATCATTCTTCACATTGAAGGTCACGATTGTGAAATGAATCTTGATTTTAAATTGTAAGCGCTCTGCGAAAGCCTTTTAGCTCGGAGTAGCGGATGATGGCAAGTCGGTTGAACGACATCGTCGTTGTGATCATCATCATCATCATCATTGTCGTCATTGTCATCATCATCGTCATCATCATCGTCATCATCATCATCGTCATTATAGTGATTGTCATCATCATTGTCGTCATTGTCAACATCATCAACCTGATTGTCATCGTCATTGTCATCATCATCCTCATTGTCATCATCATCGTCGTCATCATTGCCATTGTCATCATCGTCATCATCATTATCGTGATCGTGTCGACAACGATCTGACGATATGACCTCACCGCCATCGCACCGTGAGCAGTAAGCGACATCACGGTCAACGCGACGCAGAACAGCCACGGAGAAATTACCAAAGGGGCCACGGCAAAATCAGCGCCCCCCCCCCTCTCCCACCACCCACCAACTTCTGTCGTGGGACCCCCCCTCCCCTCGCCTCCCCCACAAAGAGGGAAGTGCCGGGCACAACACGAGGAGAGACCTCGGAAACACCTGCTAATCACCTCCACCATCTCCTCCTCCGCCACATCCACCCACGTCTACCTCCACCACCTCCACCAGAACCACCACCACCACTCCTCCCCCAGCACTCAACCCGACCGCGCCCTCCACAGCGCGCGCGCGTTGCAAATATTCGCGGTCCGACTCCGGCAGACGGCCCTGGTTAATGCCACAGTGGTGAGCGCATTAAGCTCGCTCAATCGCTCCGTAACAAAGGAACACACACCACCACCGCCGCCACCGAAGCCACCACTGCCCCACCGCCACCTACCACCAACACAACAACCGCCATTCGCCACTAAGTGGCAGTGATGTCACCACGGCGTTTTGTGCCAGGCTAGGTGCACGTTGAGAGACCACGTGCAGTATCGAACGCCCGCCGGCAGGAAGTCACGGGGCAGACCCAGCAGGTGCCACTGGGTCGACTGACTGAGATGACCGGGCCGATGCACCGCCTGTGCCCCCCCCTACTGTGCCAACCACCACCACCCACGTGGGCAGGGCACGTCGCTCGCAGGAATTACTATTAAAATTATAAAACTATCAACTTTTAAAAAATCCTTTATATTAGGTTCACTTGCGCGCTTGCTTGCTTGTTTGCTTGCTTACGACCGTGCAAATCTTTCGGTCGTTTTTTAACCCACTTCTCATGATCCAATCGAGCTGATATTTTCCACACAGACTCGTTGTGCGTGACAATTAATGTTCGTGAAAAAAATTCAAAAATGTTACACTTTTTAGGACAAAAATATTATATTTAATACCAATTGCTTAATGGTGCCATGCAATCATCTGACCCATAGGTGGCAGCCATCTCAAGCCAGAGGACGAGAGGACTCTAGCCGCCACGCATATAAAGGATTTATAGTGAAAAACTTTGTTTTTACGGGTTATACTTGTTTTTGACTTTACCAGTCAAGGCCCCGCTGAGCCACATACTGTAGCTCCTTTTTGCAGACGCGACCTGGCACTCACGAATGATGATAATTAGCTCAACGAAAGCGGCTGAACGTCATCAACGTGGACACTGACAGCAGCAGCCAAATGCTCTGAAGGCGGCGACGTCGCTTCTGCACGTGGAGGGGAAAACGGGAGGACCCGGAGACAAATCCACGCGATGAGTGGGGAGCGAGACACGCGAGCTCCAAATATTATACAGAAGTGTATTTTGTACGAGTGTGTTGTGCATAAGTATATTGTGTGTGTGTGCGTTGTGTATCAGTACATTGTGTATAACAACGAGTGGAGCGCCGGGTGGCTAAAGCACAGCAAGTTGGCACAGTAGGGGGCACAGGTGGTACATCAGTCAGTCATCTCGGTCATCTCGGTCAGTCGACCCGTGGCACCTGCTGGGTCTGCCCCGTGACCTCCTGCCAGCGGGCGTTCGACACTTCACGTGGCCTCAAGGTGCACATGGCCTGGCACAAGCATCGTGGTGACGTCACCGCCACTTAGTGGCGAATGGCGGTTGTTGTTGTTGTGTATGAGTGTGTTGTGTATGAGTGTGTTGTGTATGAGTGTGTTGTGTATGAGTGTGTTGTGTATGAGTGTGTTGTGTATGAGTGTGTTGTGTATGAGTGCGAACTTCAATGTCCACTGCACAGCAGGCTCCCGCGGTATTTTCCGGGGTGGCCTCCGGTCTCGAACTGCAACCTGCCCCACCCCCCTGCGACAGCTATCAGCGCCGCGTTCCACAGCCGCAGGTCATCGACGGCTCACGGAAGGAATTCCAAACATCCACCTCGTGCCCAGGTGCGCGGGGAGATACAGAGATATGGGCCCAGCCACACACGGGGGTCATTGTCAAGTTATGTTTCATACACAGTCACACAAACAGCCACACATAGTCACACAGCTACACATAGTCACACAGACACACACACACACAGTCACACACACATAGACACACACACAGTCACACACACAGTCACACACACACAGTCACACACACATAGACACACACACAGTCACACACACAGTCACACACACAGTCACACAGACACACAGTCACACACACACAGTCACACACAGACACACACACACGCACCGAGATATGCGCCCAGCCACAAACGGGAGTCATTGTCAAGTTATGTTTCACTGAAAAGAAATAAAGACATAAATCCGCACGTGCTGTGCCGCACGCGTAACTCCGAGCCGGATGTCGTGATGAATGTTCGTTTAGGCAGGGAGTTTATTCCGGAATAAGCCTCGCTGGGTTCGGTCAACTCAGCCTCAAATGAGTACCTGGTACGTAGTAAACATCGCCACTGGGGAGACAAAGGCGGCCGGGCGTGGTGTTGGCCACCCACCCCCTCGTGTGCCGTGCCGGCCTTCATAGGTGCTACTCGCTAACAGCACTTGCCCCAACAGTCTGTTAAGGATCTGCAGAGGATGTTTGTCTCTGTGTGGAAGTGGGGAGGGGGTGCAGTGGTTAGCGCACTGCGCTGTGGCCAACATCAGTGGCAAATATCTGAACCGGTCCTGGGCCTCCCTTAGGTCAACTCAGCCTTAAAAAGAGAACGAGCACCTTGTGCGGTGTGTAAAACACTGGCGAGACAACGGTGGCCTGGCAGGGTGTTGGTCACCCACAACCTCGTGTGCCGTGCTCGCTGACAGCACTTGTTAAAAGGGTTATACATGGACTACCTCTACTTACGAACATTCGACTTACGCACTTTCAGAGATACGATCAAATCTGCAGAACGTGAAGAACCAGTGGCACCTACATCTACAGGAGATTATACAACTTTTAAAGCCGTGTTTTGTGTACGACGATTGGAATCGACAGGAGTAGAGTTGGACTTACGAACGAATTGATTTACTAGCACAGATCTCTGGAATTTTATTTTTCGATTTAAAGCTTTCGTGACTGCAGGGATTCATCTTCTTGGTTCTTTCGGTAAAGTCACGTAGAAGGGAAATAATACAATAATAAAAATAAAACATAATAAAATACAATTCTCACGACGTTTCGGCCACAACGCAAGCAGCCGTCCTCCCCGTCTTTCCGACAGACCTGTTCTTCACCTGAGGATGGCTGCTTGCATTGTGGCCGAAACGTCCTGAGAATTTGATTTTATTATTTTTTTATATTATTATTTCCCTTCTACGTGACTTTACCGAAAGAACCAAGGAGAGATCTCTGGAACTTAACCTTTTAGTAAGGAGAGGCGTCCCTGTACGTGAGTTCTTTGATTTTGCCGAGAGGTGGAGGGAGGTGTGGCAATCACAAGAAGGAGCTGAGCACCGGGGGGCTAAAACGCATCTCGGCTTGGCACGGTGGGGGAGCGTGCAGGTGGTGCATCTGGCAATTCTCCGCCCTGGCTTGCAAATCAGTAAAAACACTTGGGTCTGTCCCAGGGACAGCTCTTGCCTAAATGGAGCTCAACACCCAGCAGTCACAGACTGTGGATCGTCGGAAGAAAAAAAAGATACCTAAAGACATAATAAAAATAACAACGATGTTTTATCGGCGTACTACAGCGACGCACCCGAGCATTTGCCAAGAGGCCCAGAAG